CTAGTTTTTGTTAGATAATGTTCTTTATATGTCAAACAAATGCAGCAACATTGTTTAGAAATCACGTTATTAATGAGAAGAGCAGATTAAGCAGCATAAATAGCCACATTATTCTTTGGCATTAAAGGGTTAATATTTACTAAACTACTGAATTTGCTCTGATACGAAGTTGTTGCTGTTAGACCCGGTTAGCCTGTAGTCGCTTTAGTTTCTCTGCCCTCCTCCCCCCAAAATATTTATTGTATAATGTCCATGCTTTGTTTCATGTCTGTTGATATTAAATTCTTTGGCTCTCAATGGAAAAAGTATTCAAATTACCATCTTGCCAAAATCGCCAGGTTTCAGTGTTAAGTTTGCGCTTTGTGGCTGTAGTCTTGGCTAAACGTCATTCAGAAAATTACGCTGCAGATCTAGTCAGAGAAGAAAGGCTCTTAAACTTGAGCTAAATGTGTCACCACATTGCGGTGCATCACATTGTGTTTTTACTGTGCTGCTGCCACCACCAGGTGAAAGGAAAACTGTAACGTATTGGCCGATGGGCCACTTCTACACACACTCAAACAGAAGCCGTGGGCCAGTTAAAATCTGCCCATGGGCCACATTTGACCCTGGGGTCAGACTTTGGACACCCCTGACTTAAGAACTCGATATGTTTTGAGGTGTTTGTGAATTAGGGCTGGGTGATTAACTGGCGTAATTTTGCCCGTGTCAGTTATTTAGATTTTTAAAAATTCTGTTAATCCTTTCTCCACTCTGTGTGTTCATGTACTGTCCCCTTAAAAACGTACTACCACGCATATCGTCACGTGACTCCGCCACGTCCACTCGGCGACATGGAAGCTAGGCTGTGTTCACACAGCAGGTAAAAGTGGCCCAAATCTGATTTTCTCACCAAGTCTGACTTTTTTGTTTGGCTGTTCAGATTATCTTTTAAATGTGATCTGTATGCAACATCAGTCTGAACAGATCAGCTCCTAAACTGACCTGCATGCCCAAAAGAACAACGTGTCACGTTGCTTCACGCGGCTCATCCAGAGGAAAACAATCCTGACCGCGAACGAGCGCCAGTCGCTCCCGGAGGATCAGCTTCATCTTCACCAGCATCACAGGAGCCATCATGAAGCTTCACTGACTGACAGCTGGGCTCATCACCCAGAATGTGTTCAGCTCGCCGTAAAAAGGGCTCGGTCACTTCTTTGGTTCGTGTCCTCGGATTCTTTAAACTTTGCTTTCAGACTTTTAACAGTTCTGACGCTGCAGCCTCGTTTGGCCATTTCTTTCAAAATCTCTTCAAACACGGAGGGTTTGGGATGAGTCTCTTCTAATTTTTGTACAGAAATATCAGCACAAATTTTTATTTGGTCTCAGCAGCGCAAAATTATGACGAATGTCGAGTTGGATTGACGTAAAAGCCGAGGGAATTCCGATCTGGCTGTTGAGACGATTTACATTAAGATAAGCAGAGCATATTTATAGTACAGACCTTGTCAGTCAACTATGAGGGCAAAACCCCCCCCCCAAAAAAACAAAATAATCATCCATTAATCGGAATCGAGGTAAAACATTCAATTAATCGTGATATTGATTTGAGCTCATATCGCCTAGCACTAGTGTGAATATTTACCCATGCAGTTTGCATGATGCTGAAACTAGTGACTAAGTTTCAATTCTTTGTAGCTACATTAGTCGCGGAGCACCAGTGCAAAGCTTTGCATACTAGACGAGTCTTGAGTGTTTGACTACGTTTAGGATAAGAGGAAAACTGTACATTAGATTTTTGCCACACTGTGTTTTTTAATGATGCTCTTCAACTCATTGTTTCTACTCAGCACCCGCTCGCAAGTCTGATGTCCCCGTCCTCCTGTCAAACCCGGCTTTGGCAAAATAATGCATATCCTTTGTAGGTCCTACAGATGAACGTGTGTACCCATCTAGTGTGCATCTCTGTGTTTATTTTGAAGCCTGAAAGTGATTTGAAATGGAGTGTATTTCAGACCAGAAGCAGGATGTGGGAGCCCTGTGACATGGTGTGTAAGTGACGGAGGGAGAGAGAGATAGCCGTCTGCTGCTTGACTGAAAGGACCACTTGCTACCAGTGCTTAAGCAGTTTGACAGAGGGCTTGTGCTGTAGAATGAGTCAGCAGGGTGGGAGCACTTTATATTTCAGATTAGCGTAAGTGCTCACAAGCTTCCCTGGAACTTAATTGTTGAGCGTATGTGTGTCTGAGTGAAAGGCTGTAGGCTTTATTGTTTGGGTTGCATTTTAGGAACGGCAGTACTGACCCTGCAGATTGTTTCATGAATGGTTTTATTATTGTGGTCATTATCAGTATGTCTGGATTGAACGAAAAATTTGGCAGCTTGGTGAAAGAGCTCACCGTGGAAATTTCCTATTCAACATGTCACTTTTAAGCAGTGGGAGAATGAATCTGGAAGCATTTTGACCTTTTCAAACTTTTACTCGCAAAGAAAGTAAAGTAAGAAGCCAGAATCTTTCAAAATTGTGGAGCACCATTCAACCCATCTTACATTTTGGGAGCTGTTGCCGCTACTAAAGGCCACAATTCACATACACCATCTGTTGTGTTCTCGCTCCACATTGCTTTGCTGTTACCCGTCCTTTATGCCACAGTTTGTCAAATGTGGGTTTTCCAGCATTCAGAACCGTAAAGAAACCTTTGCATCTGAGGCTGAGCAATATGACCATGTTTATTGTTTTATTGTTTTCGTGATAAATTACGTCGCAGTACAACACTATGCTTTTCTCAGCATGTTGCAGATATTAGCAGTATTTAAAAACACTTTCTAACTGCATGTCTCACTACAAAGAGAACGTAATTAGTCCTGTTTAGTTGGATATAATGCAGTCTGTGAAATGTTAAATATACCACTGAATTTTTGAAATTTTACTATTGTATGTAATGTAAAGCAATATAGTATTTTTTTAAACGTGGGATTATTTGTATTCTCTGTTTTATCAGGTGTCGGAAAAAATGATATATTGTGTATCGTAAAAACGTCTTGCGTTGTTGTGATATTACATTTTTCCCCATGGTGCCCAGCTCTGCACGCTTCTAATATCTTAATACAACGTCTTTCTCTGATTTTGGCATTTCCTATTGTTTAATCTTAATGGATTACTTAAGTACTCTTCAGCACAGCACTGCTATTGTTATTTTAGATCGTATCTGGTAGGAAGTGTAAGCCAACTAGGCACGTGCTGGAGTAAAACTTATGTCACAGTGTTTAGTTTACTCTTCAGCACAGTTTTACGATGCCACAATACTGGATTAAAAAAAATATACTTTGTTCTGGATTTCATTTCCTGCATGGTTATATTGTGTTGGTTGTTGTGTACATTATGTGCACATTATATTGTGTGTGTAATTACCTGATAGTCCTATTCGAATATGACCAGATTAGCCTTTTAGCTATCAACTAAGCTGGTAGTTCAACAGAACCAGACTATGTAGGGTTATGTGTAAATGAGTATTCATGAGACTTGCATTTTTTTTTTTGTTTTGTTTTCACCTTTCTTGAAGGTTGTGAAAGTGCTGGGACTAATTCTGGTTAGTTACAGCCCTAAAAGCTGGAGCCATGTTATTGTAAAATACTTGATTTGTACACGTTTATGAGCACATACATCATCTGATTTCTGTATGAATGCACTGAAACATAAAAACGTGTTCCTTGTATGCGTTCTAGTATTTCCTCACACCGCCATGCATCACACTTTCTCTTGGAGAATGTGGATGAAATAGTTATGTGCAATCCCATGTGGATTCTTGCTTTTTTATTTTTCTCGTCAGATCCACTGACTTCAAGTCATCCAGTTACTTCATGTGGTAACAAGCAATCGAACTAGTTTTATTCAACTCTGACGCGCCGCTTTTTACAATGTGGTTTGTAGTTTTGCCAGTGTCCTCTCAGAATGGAGTCCAGAACACCACTATTTTAAGCTGCATGCATTATTTTTAGTAGGGTTGTCTAGCAGAACCATCTGCCTCTTGCACTGTCATGGATGCATTTAAAAATATTCAACTTTAATGATAAACACACCAAACAGGAACTGTTGTTTATTGTAAATAAAGTCAAACTCAATTAACTTTTTTTTTAAAACTAATAACTCTAGCTGAACAATTGCTTTTGTTGGTTAATATTCTACAACCCTTGGTGCGCAGAATGAAGGCGTAAGGGCTAAGTGGTAGGGACAGGGGGTGAAATGGGATTGGGCTCTAGTCTTTGGTGTGGTACTGTTCCACACCACATGCTATGTGGGCACAGTTGTTGGTTGAGGGGGCCTTTTGATTTCATTACTCTGATTATGTTCAAAGGCTTTGGAAATGCTAAGCAGGATATGAGGGCCCTATGGCTCAGTCTGTCAGCCTTCAGCAGCATGCCAAGTGTTCGGTGCTGCTTTTTATGTAGCCAGTGTTCCACCATTCGCTTTTGATTTCTCTCACAAGACCTTGTGCGCACAAGCGTTGACGACCTACATCCAACCTGTGAAATGAGTGACGGTGGCATACAGCTTGATTAATCCCTGCCGCTCTAAGTTCTTGGACTTTGATATGAAAATAGAAGGCCACAGTGTCAGTGACTGGGTTCTGCTTTCACACGTCCTCTTCCTAGAGACTTTTCTGTGTGCCAGGTTCAACGGTGGCAGAGCCCAGCATAGCATGCTTCATGTCAGCATCTAGAGATATTATCTGTGATAAAAATACCGCTTAATCTGATAATACTCCTGTATGTGTTGACATCTGTGGGTCTTTTAGGGCTTCATTCTAGTGTTTTTCTCTAAGCAAAATATCACAGTGGTTTCCTCAGTGTGTGCTGGCAATATGTAGAATACCATTAAAGTGCAAATGGTCAGTGTGGGTGATATGATTCCCATTAGAGCTTTAGTTGTCTACTGGCTTAAGTGATTTTGTTCCTCGTGCAGTAGTCCTCTTCTGGACCAGATGTTTTCAGTGTTTTTATCTTTTGTGCTTTGTCATCAGGGTATATTTTGGAGTTGCAGGCAGAGTATTTTTGAGGAAATGAAGAAGAAGTTCTCGCAGGTAGCTCTGGCATGAGAGTGTTGGAGTTGTTTCTGTGTGTGTTAACAGCATGGTGTCTGAATTTGCACCAGCACATTAATTAAACAAGTAGTTACTAACTGTAAACTAATGAGTGAGCGTAAAGGTTGGGGTGAGGACAAGAACCTGTGCTCTCCACTTCTTGATGAGAGTATTCAACCTTTTAAAACAAGCCAATGCCTGTGAATGTACTGCAGGTTCATGAGAACAAGGCTCAAAATGCCAGCAAAATTATTTCTGCTGCGACTTGTTTTCTCGTACTTGTCCATAAACATGATGCCGGTCCCCCAAATGACCAAGAAATATTTTATTTGCGTCATACTTGGAGGCCGAGGCGCTTGTGGTAACAAGAGCAGATTGGCAGTGGAGAGCAGTCTGAGGGAACAGAGACATTGTGTGAAAAGAAAATGGCTCTGGCTTTGTAAACAGAGCTTACGATTTCCACACTGTCATCACCAAGCAGACATTATGCTCTATTGCGTTGTCAGTGATCAAACCTTTTACATGGTTAGGCTGTGTTTTCCATGTTACATAATCAGTAGTTCCAAATGGTTGTGGCATGATGAGACATTTTACCAGTTTGCTAAATGGTACGCTGTCTTGTGCATGTTTCAGGCCAACCCCTGGGTTTGTTGTGTCTATCCCTGAGATCAGTGTGGCCTTTTACAACTTTATGGGAAACCTCGTAGTGTTTACAAGGTTAAGAATTGAGCTTCTGGCCATATTTCTTGGTATACTAACGTGCTCCCAGGCTTAACATGTAAGCTGTGTCTTGTAAGAGCTTAATGTAACCAGGGCTACAGTAGGTCATATCAATACTGAGTTGCGTAACCATCACTGCTCCATTTTCCCCTGCCTCGTGTCGTGTGTGCCTCCCTGTCATGTTATGGCTTGGACCCAAGGAATTTCTCGAAGGTTGGCTGTCGCCTGAACTCCACCCCCCTGCTGCCACCTTAACTTAAAATGACTAATGTCAGCAGCCTGTTTAGCAGCATGTGGAGTGGCGTGACCTTTTCCTTAATCATTATGCGTTGACAACTAAAGTGAAAGTGTCGTACTTTGTGCTGCAGATAGAGAGTGCTGCTGAGGAGCCCAGAGTGCTGTGTATAGTCCAGGACACCACCAACGCCAAGACAGTCAATGAGAGATTGACCCTCAACCTCCCGGCTTCCACCTCCCTCTCCAAGCTCTATGAAGATGTCGCTCACAAGGCTGGCTATGTGAATGGCACCTTTGAACTGGCATGGGGCAACCTGTCGGATGTGGTGAGCACCACCTCTTTTCCTCTTAGAGTATAATTGACCCATCCATTCACACACATCTCTAAGTGATATTTCTTCCATCGAACCGGCAGCGTGAAGGGCGCCGACAGGAAATTAGTCCATATAAAGAGATGAGTTTTGGATAAAACTATATGGAGGTCTATATTCACAGTGTCGAATCTAATAACAGGTAATAACATGTCAGTGATAAGATCAGTTTAACTAGCTTAGTTAAATTTTTGTAATTTAGCTGCCCACAGCTTGATGAATTAGTCAGATTAAACAGAACTGTACAGGGCTTGCATTAGTGATTAAAAAACAGTTTATGTAAAGATAAATACTGATGCACTCCTCCACATGCCATCGTTTATATTTTTTCACAAGTGTTAGCTTAAGCATTAGCTCACCTGAAGGGACAGCCTGAGTCACTCCACCGTCCACCTTATTAGGCATTAAAACTAATTGGTTAATTTAATTGATTGTACACTAATGACTTATTGTTCGTGAGTGTATTGAACACGCATATATATTTTAAAATATTATGCCTCCGGTAGTAACAGTGCTATATTTCTTTTATAGATATTGTTAGAGTGAATAGAGTTTTGTTTTGGGCTGTGAGGCGAGACTGTGTTATGTGACCCTGGCTATGTGCTAATCCTGCAGCTGACCCAGAGCACAGGTGCTGGAGCTGGAGTTAGCTCTCTGAGTAGGTCACTGGATTAAGCCCAGAGTTTGATCCAGGCTATGCCACTGCACCAGTGGCCCTCTTAAATGAGAGTGGCCTTCCTAAATAAGTTGCAGCAAATGAATGCATGTGTCTTTCTGAACCTCTTAAAATAAAACCAAAGCCATCGTATATCAGACAGGAGATTGAGAGAGAGAGAGAGAGATATGTGTATATATATATATATCAGTCTCAGTGTATATATATATATATATGTACACCGATCAGGCATAACATTATGACCACCTCCTTGTTTCTACGCTCACTGTCCATTTTATCAGCTACACTTACTATATAGGTGCACTTTGACCCTCACAGAGCAGGTACTATTTGGGTGGTGGATCATTCTCAGCACTGCAATAACACTGATGTGGTGGTGGTGGTGGTATGTTCAGACACAGCAGTGCTGCTGGAGTTTTTAAACACTGTGTCCACTCACTGTCCACTCTATTAGACACTCCTACCCTGTCAGTCCACCTTGGAGATGTAAAGTCAGAGACGACAGCTCATCTGCTGCTGCGCAGTTTGTGTTGGTCATCCTCTAGTCCTTCATCAGTGGTCACAGGACGCTGTTGGCTGGATATTTTTGGTTGGTGGACTATTCTCAGTCCAGCAGTGACACTGAGGTGTTTAAAAACTCCAGCAGCACTGCTGTGTCTGATCCACACAGACCAGCGCAACACACATTAACACACCACCACCACGTCAGTGTTAGTGCAGTGCTGAGAATGATCCACCACCCAAACAGTACCTGCTCTGTGGTGGTCCATGGGGGTCCTGACCACTGAAGAACAGGGTAAAAGGGGGCTAACAAAGTATGCAGAGAAACAGATGGACTACAGTCTGTAACTGTAGAACTACAAAGTGCACCTATATAGTAAGTGGAGCTGATAAAATGGACAATGAGCGTAGAAACAAGGAGGTGGTCATAATGTTATGCCTGATATATATGTTAGTTATTTGTATTTTTGTAAATAAATGTGTGTGTGTTTTCCAGAGTAGTTTACCCGCACCCCCCCACCTTACGGGGTTTGTTGTGTAAATTTTTCTGGCAGAAATGCAGTAGGCTAATCCCCACACAGAGATCCATGAATGCACAATGGGACATCAGAGTATTAAACCTTGAATATTCTCAATTAAAATTAGTGATCTGCTGGAACTGAGCTAACAGGTGCATAATTTAGATTTTCTCTGAATACGTACAGATTGCCAGAAAGTAGTAAGTGCTAGAAAAAGAAAAAAAAGAAAAATTACAGCACTGAACAGTCTAGATCGCAAACATCTTAGTGAGATATGAGACTAATGTATCTGCATGCATACTAGCTGATTTGCTAGCAGTTAGCCAAGCGGTAATGTATCAGAGTTCGCTGTGCAGACTTTGTGGGAGATGTTTCTACATTCAAACACTGGAAGAGGCAAATTCACAAGCTGGGTCTGGGTGCAGCAAAAAACACGTTGCTGCTGCTTCTCTTATTTTGGACATCATGATTATAAGTTCCAAGACATTTAACTAAATACAGTAAACAGGTTCTTGATATTCAGAGTGAGCCTGTAGTACGAGCTCTTAAGTGCTGTGTAGTTACTTTAAGTAGAAGGATGATAATTATGAAGACAGTCCAAATTGCTAACTAAGCTACATTTAAATTACTAATAGAGTCTTGTTGTTTAGTTCATAAATGACTTTTTTTGGATGAAAGTGGTAAATACAAACATACTTATGCAAAAGTTCACTAATTTCACATGTTTAAGTAGGAAAGTGAAGTTGTAACATCTCTAAATTTTCAGTAAGTTATATGACCTAAAATGACGGCACAAATACATAAATAGTTTACTGTAAAGTAAACGGTAAGGACTCAATAAAACCAAAGTATGAATCATTGCTTTCTTTTACAACCCAGATTCAGTTTTGATTGTAGGTAATAAACAGATACGTGTTCCGTGAAAGTCTTTGTACTTTGTTCATGAGTAATTTTTTAAGGCCACATAATTAGCCGCTGCTTTGCCCAGAATAATTACACAGCACTGTGGAGTTTGAACCACATTCTTAGCTAATTAATATCTAGAAGCTGTTGGGGATTTCAGTGTAATTTAATAAGGCTGTCTTGGAACTCATGTTACTCAAAATAATTACTTTGTACTTTGGAGTTTACACCTCACACTTATCTGGATAACATCTGGAACTTACAGGGCAGTAAAAGAAGGCGCTGCCAAAATATTTTTTTGTGATTGGTAACTGACTGGTTTTAGTAGTTTATATATAGCCAAATGTAATTAAACGTGAACAGTGTCAGTCTAATCTCTGTGATGTGATGTGTTATGTTTGGTGAGGCATTAAACCTTTCTTTACAAATGAAACCGACAGACATGTTTGCATGTGAGAATATGACGGAGTCAAAACAAAACATAGGCTTTGAGTTTGTGTAATTGTTTAGCATATGATGTAGAGAGCAAAATGATAGATCTGTTCTGAGGTCTGAGTGTTAAACCTGGTGCAGACGCCCACAGACGGGTCAAATTTCACTTGCAGTCATTTCATTTAACCTGCATTCTGACTTACTGGTCAGGGGTACTTGTAATACATAATGTTTGAATAATGTAGGTGTCTTTTCCTCTCAGAACAGCCAAATTGTCTGAACGTTAAATTAGTTCTGTTAAATTAGGTAAAATTCAATATCATGACACTTTCAAATATATTATAATATTATGGTATCATGTGATATTCAGATTAGCTCAAATAAAGTTAATGAACCCATGTTTCCTGAGTGCAGGTGCAGGGGTGCTTTACAAACCTGACATGGATTGTTTTGTTTTCTGATGGTTCCTTCTTTTAAATGACACCAAAGGGAACAGTGTATTGTAAACATTAACCAGCCAGAAATACATTTCAGTAAGTAATATGGAGTTTAACTGTGGAGACTGTGATTCTGCACACCTGGTAGCAATAATTGTGCCTGAAATACCTGAACTCAGTAATTAGGACCCATGTGTCAAACACAAAGCCCACGGGACAAGTCAGGCCCGTGACACAGTCCTATTTGGCCTGCAAAATTATTTTAATTTTCTATTCTCATTAGTCCATTTCACCCTAAGATGACCTACAGTCTCCAGAATGCACTGCATGGGGACCCCCTTACATCAACAACAATCTATAGGCCAGCGATTTCACACACAGAAAGTATGCCTGGTGTCTAGTTTAAGCAAATAGGCAGTTTTAAATAAACTACCTAAAACAATTTATTTTTATTTGGAATTATTTTTGAATAAGTGTTTAATGTCTGTTTTGCTGTTGCAGTTTTGGCATATTTGAATAAACATTGTCCCGTTCGGATCATGGCAAAATGTTAAGTGAAAATAAAATAAAAACACAGCTGGGCCACAAATTTGCTGAGATTTTTTTTAATATGGCCCTTTTATTGGTTGAGTGCAACACCGCTGAATTAGGAGGATTGTGATTATCCACATACTATTGGTCATATAGTGTATTATTATTATTATTATAATAATAATAATTATTATGGGTATTATTACTTTAATATTATTATAATTATTATTATTGTTATTATTTATGGATTTTGAGCAAGTTACTTATGTAACAGTTAATTGTCAGGGCTTGTATAGCATGAATGAAGTGCATAAAATGATACATCACGCTCTTTATTTGGTCAAGTTCAGATACTGGAAACTGTGTGTGCATCTGCTCGAACAGATAGATTGTTACCTGTGTGTCCTGCTGTTTGCCAAAAGCCAAAAAAAGATCAAAGGGTTCTAAAGAGATGCATTAACAAATCATGGTAAAGAAACAAAAAAAGGCAAAGTTTATATATTGCGAAGGGTTCAAAGGAAGAGTCTTACTCATATGTTCTTACGTCTTTGTATTGTCTGTAAAGCATGTCTGGCCCACGTCCTTCTCTTCCGTCTCACTTTGTCTTTCCCTTCCTCCTTCCTTTTCCACAGGCTCCTCTGGACCAGGCCAGTGAGATGTCTCTGGTAGAGTCTGGGTTTGAGCCAGGGAAGCGGAACTTCCTGCAACTCTCAGACAAGGACGGAGAGCAGCCTCAGATAGCTTCTGTAAGTAGGCAGATCATCAGAGAAAGGTTTGCTTAGTACTTGGAGGGTCACAGTCACCAGTATGGGATAAGCATGCATCTGGGTTACCTGGTCTAACAGCTGTTTCCCAAGTGGCAAAAGAGTGACTTTTTATGAGAAGAGAAGGGCTTGTTTACATGGTCAACAAGTTTCCTGAGAGTGGTTTAAAGCTATTACACGATAAGACTGGTCAGTGGTCATAGTATTTGTTACTAATTGCTGTTTATGTGTATGTGTATACAGGATGAGTCAGGCACGGCAGACAGCAGTGGGCTGGATGACAGCTCTCAAGACCGCTTCATTGGGCCCTTGCCCCGGGATGGCACAGTGGGCTGTAGCAGTGATTACAGCAGCCCTAGCTACTCCTACTCCTCCATACTCAACAAGTCAGAGACAGGTAACTTCTCCAGGCCTTTTAATTGGCCTATCTATGGTCTGACCACACATACCTTTTTTTCGTAGCAGCTGTTGCAAACATGGCAGTTTATGGTGCATTATTAATTTAAATAAAAATATTTTGTGTGTGTGTGTGGAAAGGTTAAACTGTCGATATAAATCAGGAGCCTGTCTCACGAAGCAGAATTTCTTGTTTAGCCTGCTGACTTTTTAAGATAAGTTCATTTAAGCCTGGATTTTCACAGCACTTCTTACTAGACTTCATAGCAACTTACGCTGCCCTCCTAATTTGTTCAGGAGCAGGTTTGGGATTTTGGTCACGTTCAGAGCTCTCGGATGCCTCTGATGCTTTTTGTATCATGTTTTTTGCATCAGCTTTTTTATTTATTTAACGATTGTGGCATCACTCATATGGAAACTTCATGCTACTTGGATATCAAGTAGTGAAGCACATATTACTACATGATGGCAGTGGTGACCATTTTACTTTTACTGTTGGGCTTTAATACATTTCTACCTATTTGCATAGTGTTAGTCCTTTTTCTTCTTCAAAGAATAAGCAGCTCTACTTCTTTCTTTCACAATCAGCTGTTTATCAGAAATTAGTCATGGCTTCAGTATCTAAACCTGGGTTGTTAACAACTGTCCTAAAGCAAGTTAACCAGGGCTGCTTTTGTTAGGTTTTGTAGAGCTGAAACTTGGTCAGGAGCTCTTTTTTGTGTAATGGTAAATTTGTTGTAATTTCCAACCTGCCTAACTAGAGGAACATAGTTCATCCTGTGTTTTTAAATGCGTTTTGAACTGGAAACTCACTATGTAAAATTTGGTTGAATGGGATTTCTGCCACTGTTATGTGAAGCATGTGATTTTGCACTGATTGCTACAAAGAATGTACTTTTGGGGGATGAATAGAGAATTTCTGACTTGTGCTCCCCCTCCTCTTTGTCTGTACTCTGTAGGATATGTGGGTTTGGTCAACCAGGCCATGACCTGTTACCTGAACAGTTTACTTCAGACCCTGTTCATGACGCCAGAGTTCAGAAACGCACTCTACAAGTAAGAGAATACTGTGTGTTCATTACTGCCCTTTAATAAGGCGAACAAAGAGAGTGAGGGAGATACTTGGTTACAAAGTGAAGAGGGCGAGAATGAGAGAGAGACTTAATTACAAAATCTTTTTTCCCTTCAGTTGGGAGTTTGAGGAGTCAGAGGAAGACCCAGTCACGAGTATTCCTTACCAGCTGCAGAGACTCTTTGTGCTGTTGCAGACCAGCAAGAAGCGTGCCATTGAGACCACAGATGTGACGCGCAGCTTTGGCTGGGACAGCAGTGAAGGTGAGCTCCTCTCTGCTCTAATGTTCTGGGCTCACGTCTCTGAGAGAAACCCAAGCCACGTTACTGCTGACAACATCAGAATGTTGCCTTTTGTTTCCTGCTCCGGATTACTGTGAAAATTATTCGACTTTGACTGTGTGTGTGTGTGTGTGTGTGTGTTCATTCTGCAGCATGGCAGCAGCATGATGTCCAGGAACTGTGCCGGGTCATGTTCGACGCCTTGGAGCAGAAGTGGAAACAGACGGAACAGGTACAGCCCACCCCTTCTTCTGATATAACACTAATCCACAACCGGTGGGAACCCTCCCCCAAAGGCCAGAACAAAGGGCCCAGTGTGGCTAGGAAAGTCCCAGGGTTAGCGGTGTCTGATAGTGGTGCGTGTGTACACACACGCAGGGTCTGGCCTCAAGTGGGGGTTTACTGGGTCAGAGATGTTTTGAAAGGCTACCTCAATTGCAGGACTCCTAAGGTGTAGTCTGATGTTGAGCAGATGTGAACAATATGATATTTTGTGTGTGTATAGTGATAAATTGTTATTTTGATTGATGATAATGAGCATGTCCATGCTTAAGGAACATTGACCCATTGCATGTTTTGTTACAAAGAAAGCATACATAGTCCTGCAGCATGTGAATTACTTAGGAAAAAAATAGTTTTTGTTGGCTGTTTTTCAATGTGGCCCAACTATAGTGCCTTGTATCTGTGTCAGAATATTGTGGAACGTATTGTGTGTTGTAAAATATCTTGAGATATAATGATATGGTAATTTGCCATATTGCCCATATTTTTTTTCGAATATATGGACCTTGGATATTTAGTGTCCAATTTAGTGTCTTGAATATGTTTTTCTTAAATTGAATGCTTTTTAGGTTGTCTCTGTTTTCCTACGTTTCGCAGTTGTCGGAAGAAAACCTTGTATCTCCAAAATGGTAAATTTACAGGAGAAGGAAAAAACATACTTTACTTTTAATGTAAGTCAATGGAACCAGAGTTTCCCCCCACCCCCTAAGTCATTTTGGGTCATTTCTGTTGGTCCATTCATCATGAAATTTACACACAATGTAAAAGGGCAACAGGCATTTTCGAATTGTGTCAAAAACTGAAAAACGAGTACAAGGTTTTGTTCTGACAGCAGCGACGTGCAGGCTTTTGACTCATTTGACTCGTTATTACATTTGCAGATAGAGCTCACTGAAGAGGCCTTGAATGGTTTACCATTGTTGTTGTTTAGGCTAACATTAGAGTGAGCAAGTGTTTTCTGGCTTAATGTTGAGGAATTGTGGTTGTTTTTATAAATATGTAATCAAAGTCTTTTGCCTACGTATTTATAAAAACAATTTTGACACTCAACTTAAGTGCTTCATGCTAAAAAAAAAATAATGGTGAATTTCATTCAGGATTTCTTAATCCAAGCTCAGCATCTGTTGTTTGTTTTGGTACTGAATGTTTGTATGTCGTGTCTCATCAGGCTGACCTTATAAACCAGCTGTACCAGGGCAAGCTGAAGGACTACGTGCGCTGTCTGGAGTGCGGCTATGAGAGCTGGAGGATCGACACTTACCTGGACATCCCTCTGGTCATCAGGCCATTTGGAGCAAGCCAGGCTTTTGGGAGTGTGGTGCGTCTCGCCTTTTTATGTTCAGCTTTTCAGTTGTTTGGCAAAAGCAGTCACTGTGCAATAGGGGTATAAATCTCTGATCTCATAATGAATCTTTAGACAATGATTAAATGCATCATGAAATCTCAAATTTACCAAAATTTTGTTTTGATTACTTTGGTATGATTCTGAATTATTTTTAAAGAAACTTAATGAAGTGTGACTGGAGGAAGACGCACCCCTATAAACGTTACACCAAGCTTCCGTTTGGATTTATGGGTCTAAAATAGCCTGAGAATGTTTTTCATTCCAAAATCAATGCAGTAGAGTTGCTGCCTTTACAATGCAACAGTGCATTTTTGCACTCTTACTAGGCAAATCATATGTGTTTCCATATGAATTGGCAGACTGTTATAATCTCTCTTGTTTTTTTCTGGTATATCCAACAGGAGGAGGCATTGCAGGCTTTCATCCAGCCTGAGACACTGGATGGACCCAATCAGTACTTCTGTGAGCGCTGCAAGAAGAAATGTGATGCCCGCAAGGTGAGCCACTGCAGGCCACTGCAGGCTGTTCTGTCAGTCTTTCTTTTTACCCTTCTCTTGTTCTTATTTTGCTCTTTCTGTGTTGTGCTACAGGGCCTGAGATTCCTGCACTTTCCTTATCTGTTGACCCTGCAGCTGAAACGTTTTGACTTTGACTACACCACTATGCACCGCATCAAGCTCAATGACCGCATGACCTTCCCTGAGGAGCTTGACATGAGCCCCTTCATTGACCTAGAGGATGAGGTAGAAAACAAGCCTTAGTATCTCCCTGATTGCTGTGGACAGAGATGTTTAAGGGTTCTACTTAACTGCGCACTTGATTACTCATCTCAGTTAGCTCTCGAATAAGGACATCAATAATGTATGCTTGTGACTGATGAGCGTCTCTTTTATCTGCCTTTTGATTTACCACACGCGTACCGCAGAAGTCTCCTCAGACAGAGAGCTGTACTGACAGTGGGGCGGAGAACGAGGGCAGTTGCCACAGCGACCAGATGAGCAACGACTTCTCCACAGATGATGGTGTGGATGAAGGCATCTGCCTGGACAGCACAAGCGCCACTGAGAGGGTCCTGAAGCCAAAGGTATTTCCACAGTTACCTCTAGTACGTGCATGAGCTGTAATGTATTTGTCCAAGCTTGATGGGAAAAGAGTATGTGAGTGCAGCGGCTGACATTTCCACTCCTCGCTCAAAGCGTTCTGTAATCATTCCTCTCCAGTTGTGCTCCGGGAAAATAAATACATTTTCTCACACTAAAACAAGACGTTCCTTGTAGGTGTAACATACTTGGCGAATTAAAATGACAAAGCCAGTATACTGTGGCGTTATGCACAGTGCTTTCCACTTTGGAAATGCAAAAGAAGAAAGCAAAGTTTCTCTGCCTCATTCAGGATCTAAAACTTAAGGAACTCTTTCGCTCACTGCTCAAATCTTTGTAACTCCATCTGAGCTGCTTTTGGAGATGCAGTGCCACATGTGACGAAGCACAAAACAAACAGGTAGAATCTTGAAGGCAGAGTCTTGAAGTTCTGACTGTGACATTGATCAGACTACTTTCCATTTTGTAAAAGTGAAAGTGGAGGAAAAGTAGTTCATTGCTTCATTCCAAAGCTTAAACATTGAGTGCTTCCACATATAACTCAATGTTTGTAGCCTTGTTTGAGCTGCTTGTGGAGAAGCTAATTATTTTGGCATTTGAGGAAAACGTCTAATTGCTAGTATACTGGCAATACATGCTCTTAGGGTGCTTTCACACCCACTTTGTTTCGTCCGTTCGTCTTTTCAGTTTTGTCTGAACCAAAATAGCAGGTGTGAAAGGTGCCTCGGACCATGGTCCGGACCAAAGGACCAGAATTTGGACCGACCAAAAAAAGTTGGTATTGGTCAGGATCAAAATGAAGCATGGTTTGTTTCGTTTGCAGTGTAAAAATACTTTTTTGGGTGGTTGAGACTTGTGGAACTTATAAGAATTAAGGCAGGCTATCGTCACCTGTTAAACAATAGGAGAAGAAAAATAACCAGAAGAGAAGTAAAAATCAGCTGCGGTAGCACACAGGGAGAGGAGATGAAATAGTTAACTGTAATTTGGTGCGACAAAAATCAAAACTCAGCTTGGAAAAAAACTTATAAAAATGCTTAAACTTATAGCTTATTTTCTAAAAGGATGAGAGAGAGAGGATTTGACAGGATGGGCAAGCAATGCTAACTGAAGATAAAGAAACTGCAGCAGCAGTATGTAAAGGTAGTATAGTGGCAACAAAATTAATCTGTTCGTTTATTTTTCTCCATTCAAATGGAAAAGGCTCTCCACCGAACAGATGCACGCTCTTCTACAAACCAGTCAATGTCAAGTATAGGGGAGCGCAGCCCAAGTAGGAGATGACAGGACGTAGGTTTGTCTTGACAAGTTCTTTAGCAAGTTTGCTCTCAAAATCGCCCTGTGAAACCAAAACTAACCAAATCCGATGTATGCAGTGTAACAAAAACATGAACCTTGGTTCAGAGCTTGGTCGAGACTTGCAGGTGTGAAAACACCTAGTTGTCACTATGCCAACGCCAGAGACGACTGTGCTTAGAGAGTTCATGTCGCTGGTGAAGATTTGCAGAAATCAGAGGGCAAATAAAAGAATTTAATGTCTCATTTTCACCATCTGAAAAATCTTGTTTGGTGTGCAAGACATCAGTTATACATGTGCTTTCATTAATTTGTCATTTGAACAAATCATACATATAAATCATTTGGTGTCTAAAATATTGTGCACAAAAATATGCCTGCAGTTTTGATGTGAGTAGCCATTAGCATTTCTCTGTTTTTATTTTTCACAGTAGTAAGTGGTGCTTTTGTAAATCTGTATATTTATTATAATGATTAATCAATTCTGATATATCTAACAGCTTTATCAAACATCACAATTCATGTTCGTATTGTGTAGCCCTTTTATATATATATTTAACATTATATATGAATATTGAATGTTGTATATTAATATTAAATGTTGTGTATATAATATTCCAGTTTAAAATGTCAAGGCTGATTTAAGACTCTTTGCTGCCTTCCTTTTCCGCAGAGCTCACTGACCTTTGAACTCTTCTCGGTAATGGTTCATTCTGGGAGCGCTGCAGGTGGACATTACTATGCCTGCATCAAGTCCTTCAGCGACGGCCAGTGGTACAGTTTCAACGACCAGCATGTCAGCAAGGTCAGATTGAAAGACTCCGATTTCATATTTTTTTTCATTCTGAATAAATTCTTTTAATGGTGAAAGTGAACAGCTTAGCCCAGAAGGTTCTTGAATGCTGACATAAATGTAGCTCCGTTAATCAGACTAAAGCCTTTGATGATGTTACGTTCGATAGATCACACAGGATGACATCAGAAAGACATACGGCGGGTCCTCAGGGAGCAGAGGCTATTACTCCAGTGCCTTTGCCAGGTTAGCAGAACCTTCATCTCCTTGCTCCTTCACACGTCTGCCTTTGGCTTTTGCCTTCAAAGGGCAGTGTGTGCATAGGGACTTGTATTAAGTTGGCAACATAATCACCATGTACTTTATTCAATAACCAACTAAATGACGTCTCTCTAAGACGAAGACAACAGGCTCTTTATGTGACTGCAAACAAAGCCCCATTGATGGTGACCCATCTTTTCTGCACTTGTGGTCTTTTAGCTGCCAGAGACGTCTAATAAAGAGCATTTTTACATCACTAATAACATTTAGTCTGGAATACCCCCTGTATTTATCTGTGGCTAATAATGTGTTGTGTTTCAACAGCTCCACGAATGCATATATGCTAATATACAGATTGAAAGATTCCTCAAGGAATGCAAGTAAGAGAACAGTTTGCTGCTGTTTTGAGATCCATTTTTTTTGTGTTTCTTGTATTTACAAACACATTAGAATTTATATTCCTGTAAACAAACAAACGTATATCTGTATTACATCTTCGTTCATTATTTTCTCTTGTGCAGAGTACCTCGATGTGGAAGACTTCCCAGAGCACATAAAACGCCTCGTCCAGAGAGAGAAAGAGTCCGAGGAGCAGGAGAAGAGGCAGAGAGAGATTGAGCGCAACACGTGCAAGGTGTCCTCCTAAACTTATTCACTGACCTCATCCACAATTCCTCTGAGATTATCCAGGTCTAACTTTCTTTCTCTCTCAGATCAAGCTTTTCTGCATGCATCCTTTCAAGATGATGATGATGGAAAACAAGCTGGAGGTTCACAAGGACAAAACACTCAGAGAGGCTACAGAAATAGCATACAAGGTAAACCGAACCAACGCTTAATATAGGGGGGCATATGTAGACTGCTTATTGCAGCCTCGTTGGCTAATTTAGTCTGTGAGGCTAAATTAATTGTGACGGTTGCAACTGGTTGAAGATTGATGGAAACATTTGCCCCAAATGGTATCAAAATTCTCAAGAGATACTCAACACACTGTACAGTATCTCTCTGAATAGGTCATGTTTGTGTTTGTTTGCCACTTTTTAATAACTGTCCCCCATCTTGGTTGCTAGTTGATGGATCTTGAAGGAACAGTTCCTCTAAACTGCTGTCGGCTGGTGAAGTATGATGAGTTCCATGAGTATCTGGAGCGTTCGTACGAGGGGGAGGAGGACATGCCCATGGGGCTGCTCCTTGGCGGGGTCAAATCTTCCTACATGTTTGACTTGTTGCTGGAGACCCGCAGACCTGACCAAACTTTCCAGCCCTACAAACCTGGAGGTACCTGCACAACAGCCAAAACCACCAACCACTAAAACACTTGCACCCTGTTCTTTTACAGGATTTGGGCCTAATTTGTCTATGTGGTTGTTTTTGTAGACCAAGTGAAAATAAAATTGTGTTACAGTTGGCAGCACAAGTTTCAGTAGTATTTTTATCATCCTCCACACCATTTTGGATTACTTTATTAATGAGATTACTGTATAAACTTTATTGAAGGGGAATTCCACTGATTTTTCTGAATTTCTGTGTAATCAATTAATTGAGCTATAAATGAAGTAATTTAGAGTGGTTTGCTATGAAATGCTCCATTTAAGAGAAACTTTCTTTACAGTTCTGGTAATAGGAGCCAGTTGTAGGGAAAAAGAAACATCTTTAGGGACTTTTTTTGCTTCACAACACACCCTACATAGAACTTGCTGCCATTAATGGATTTACAAAAATATGTTTTATGCCAATATCTTCTCTCAAACTATCGTAAAACAATGTCTCAGATATCACGGAACGTATCCGCTGCCATTTCATGTAAAAGCTTTCTGTGAGGGAGCTTTCAAAGGCATTAAACAGTTCAGATAACTGGTTCCCATCGCAATTGCTGGAACATTTTTGACTGATTTTAAGTTTCTCTAGAACGGAGCGTTTGTTTGCGCAAGTCAATTTAATTATGCCGAAATTGTGAAAAATCGTTGGAGTTCCCCTTTAATTTAGCTCCTTGTGTCCACTTGATGGCAGTGTGGTGTTCTTACCACAGTGTTTACTTATTTTTCATGTTATGTTTAATATGAATTTAATCCTTTTGCCTCAAAATATCGAAGTATTTGCTTTCCTTCTCTAATCAGTTAGCAAAGCCATGTTCTGCATATGTGCTGATGCATATAGTTAGCTCTCCCTCTCTCCTGCTATGTACAAATGGATTTTTAGGAGTATGTGTATATATGTATTTGCAGAGGTGATGGTGAAGGTCCATGTCGTGGATTTGAAAAGCGAGACCATCGCAGCTCCTGTCAGTGTCAGGGCGTACCTAAACCAGACTATTACAGAGTTTAAGCAACTCATTGCACAGGTACGCTCTCTCTCTTTCTCACTGTCTGAACACACACAGTGCATTGATAACATCGTCTTGCAGCACAGTCTAATCACCAGAGGTTAATTTAGGGAGCATTAGGATGTTCCTGAGACATCACTGTAGTGAAGGTATCAACAACCTGCTTCATTGTATCTACTATAACCAAAAAAAAAAATTAAACACATTGCTGACCTCATATTTAACTGCCTAGTTATTATAACAACTGAAAGAATACCATAGTGGATAGGCCAAGTGACCTAGTCCTCCCCTTTCCAATACTTGGTGTAGATGTCTGGGGTGAATGGCTGATTTTACTGATAATCCTGTCTAAACAAATGAAATGTATGAAATAATTTTGTAATATTTTCATTGAAATCAGGAGGGACCTAGTTTCCAAGTGAGAGGACCCTAGTCCTCCTAGACCACACCATAGCTACGCTTAGACCTAGTCCTATATCGGCTCTTTTACAGCCTAGTCCTAGTGCATTTGACTGTATTTGTTTAATTTTTTTTTTCTTCCTATGGTTGTTTCTTTGTGTTTAGGCCACCGGGCTATCTGCAGAAACCATGCGTGTTGTCCTGGAGCGCTGCTATAATGACCTTCGGCTTCTCTACGTGCCCAACAAGACACTGAAAGCAGAGGGTTTTTTCAGGAGTAACAAGGTATACTTTTCTAATGCAACGCACCAAGTGGATTTAGTGCATTTCTGCATGCTCTGTTCTTCTTTTTCCTCTCTTTATTTCTTTTTTTTAACCTCCCAACTGTTGCTTCAGTAGCAGGCCAAAGGTTTACTCCCTGTAATTGTTACTCCCTTATGTTTTTGTCTTCCCTCAGGTTTTTGTGGAGAGCTCAGACTCACCAGATCACCAAGTCACTTTCACCGATTCCCTCTTGTGGAAGCTTCTGGATCGCCACGGGAACACGATCAGACTGTTTGTGTCGCTCCCAGAGCAGTCACCAGGCTCTCTGGCCCATAGAACTAGTTGCCCCAAAGTGAGTGGTGACTCTGAGGACTCGTTTGAGGGGGCTAAAGGTAGTGGCCAGTCTGTGGAGGCCATTCTGGAAGAGAGCACAGAGAAGCTCAAAAATCTATCACTTCAACAGCAGCAGCAACAGCAGCAGCAGCAGGCCTCCAGCACCAGCGACAGCCAGAAAAGTTCAGACCACAGCGACTTTGAGCACATCGAATCCCCGGCAGCGGAGCCTTCAGCCCAAGTGGCCAGCGGAGGCAGCACTGGAGGAACTGCATCTGACCCAGAAAATCAGTTTCCCTCAGAGGAGCGTTCTGACTCGGACGTGAACAATGACCGCAGCACCAGCTCGGTGGACTCGGACATCCTGAGCTCCAGCCACAGCAGCGACACTCTGTGCAATGCTGACAGTGGCCCACTTCCGCTGGCCAACGGCCTTGACTCGCACAGCATCACCAGCAGCCGTCGCTCCAAAGCCCACGAGGGCAAGAAGGAGACATGGGATACGGCGGAGGAGGATTCAGGTACAGACAGCGAGTATGACGAGAATGGCAAGAGCAAAGGAGAAGCGCAGTACCTGTACTTCAGAGCGGAGCCCTACTCACAGGACGATGCTATGGGGGATAACCAGAAAAGTAAGTGTTGATACACTTTAAAAAGGAAATTAGTACTACAACTAGCAATTACTTCTATTTTTGATTATTCTATTGACTGCTTTTTGGTAAAATGACTAATTGAACTGTTATGCCGTCTGCAGTTTCATCTCACTTTGCTCTTGTCGCAGTACTCCCATCATATGCAGTCCATTCTGTGACACCGGATTATTTTTTTTTACGGTGCAGTGAAAAGTTATATTGTCCAACACCTCAGTGACTGTATTAGAATCTGTTGGAATAACCCCACGTATCCTATGGATGTTATAGAGCGTTTTTGTTTTTAGGTAAACGCAATAGTGACTTTTTTTTTTATTTTTTAATTAGGTATGCACCAATCATGAGTTTTAAGGCTGTTTCTGATTTCTTTTCAGCTATATTGGCCTGTTGACTGTTTATTTTATTATTATTATTATTATTATTATTATTATATTTTTTTCATTAGCCTAAGTTCACATATGACTGAAAGGAACACATGAAACACTCCTCTCCTGAAGCACCTCTCCTGTACTTTGTACTAGCCAGTCTCAATATAAATAACATTATGTCCTCTTAAATGGGCCATACTTACGTTTTAAATTGATACATGAAAAATCAATTGCCTGTTTAAATAATATGAATCAAATAGAGTGATACATTGAAAGTAAGAGGCAGTTGGCACAAGTCATCTGTAATTATTCTGTGACATTTTGGTGTAGGTGGTGCAGCAGCATTCAAATACAGTAAGTGCACTTACCTGGCTTCTGCTATTTAAGTCAAATTTATATTGGCCAAAATATAAATAATAAATCTGCCGATTCTGATTTTGTCTGCATCTGACTGTGCATCTCTGCTGTATTCCATAGCTGGTGTTTATTAGTTGACTTTGTCAACAAGGTAATCCTGAAGGAAATTCTATGAAAATCCTTTTTGCCAGCGAATTTTAAACTGTTAATTGTGCTTCCTCAGTTAACCTGCCTTGTCACTATCAAATATAAATGATTTGGCTGTTGCTTTTTCAGGTTTACTTGTCCATGTTGATAAGAGGATCACACTGGCTGCATTCAAACAGAACCTGGAGCCGTTTGTTGGGGTCACTTCTACCCAGTTCAAGGTTTTCCGGGTCTACGCCAACAACCAGGAGTTTGAGAGCGTGCGACTAAACGAGACACTTTCCTCTTTTTCAGATGACAACAAGGTCTTGTTTTTGCTGCTCATTTGGTAGCATGTGATAATAAAGCAAACATACCCTTCTGTTTTTTTAGATTTTTGTCATTTTCTAAGGCTTTTGCTGTTCTGCTGTTTGCAACAGATCACTATTCGGTTAGGAAGAGCACTGAAGAAAGGGGAGTATAGGGTGAAGGTGTACCAGCTGCTAGTCAATGATCCTGAGGTGAGCAAACCATCAGTCTCTTTGTGCAGATTTTGGTACAAGTTGTAAAGTGTATTTTTGCTGTTGAGATGATAGTGGCTGGAGAGTTGCACATGAAAGGAGGAGATTTTGGTTCATAGCTGATAAAGATGTTGTCTGTTTTCTCCCCAAGCCCTGTAAGTTCCTGTTGGACACTGTGTTTGCTAAGGGCATGACTGTGAGGCAGTCTAAGGAGGAGTTACTGCCCCAGCTCAGAGACCAGTGCAAGCTGGACCTCAGCATAGACAGGTGAGCACCTGAATGCAAGTAGATATGACACATAAATATGTACTGCTTAATCACTTAAACTTTAGCCGTATTATCATTACGCTGGAGATTTATTATTCCGCATCTACTTTCAAATTTTTGACCACTATTGTAAAAGTAACATGCAAGTTAAATAATTTGAAGACTTGAAATATGGGCTCGCGTACAGGCCCTTGCAGTTTAAGGGGGTTAAATGCTAAAATGTGTAGTGTGTAAATGACTGCACGGGTGAAAATTGTAAAGTAGGGATGCATCGATACCGATATATTGGGATCTTGGGTCTCAGTCTGATACCGTGCCCATTTGTTTATACTCGTACTCATAAAAATGCACCGATACAAACATTCAAATAGCTGCTGATACTGTGTGTTGTAAACAGAGTGCGCACTGCCACGCCATGTGGTAAAGGAGGCTCTGCTCACACAAACAAGTGTGACAGTCAGACACAGCCATTAGTGGCTTTAGACATTCCACCTTGGCAGATTTCTACCAGGAGTACACCGAGTGAGTTTATAAACACTCAATCACGACTGCTGCCCCAGTATAAATGTAAATATTTTATACTGATGCTGTTTGCTGTCCGGTGTGGACCAGAGGAGGATGGGTTCCCCTTTTGAGTCTTGGTTCCTCTCAAGGTTTCTTCCTCTTGCTCTTAGGGAGTTTTTCCATGCCACTGTCGCCATTGGCGACACTCATGGGGGCTTGGACCCAGATTTTTCTGTAAAGCTGCTTTGTGGCAACACGTGTTGTAAAAAGCGCTATATAAATAAACTTTGACTTGAACGTCAGAGCGTTTTCATACTGTGAGAACAAGTCATAGGCTTTGTCTGTACACAGTTGTCCCTTCCAAAGTACAATGTGAGACACCAAAGAACAAGGATTGTAAAATCACACATTGAATGTCTGGCTTTAGAGGACGTTCGACTATGGCTCAACCAGCCAATCAGAACACTCTGAGAAGACTTAGACCCCATTTCTTATTTTTTACCCCTTGTTTTCGAGTGTCAACTTGCCCCTTGGAACGGACTTACCAGGGGTAGTGGTTGAAATCTTCCCTACGAAATGGGACCCTCAGTAAGACTCCACACGTGAGCTCCTCAGCGGCACTAGTTTTGGAAGGCATTCTTGCTGTCACTGTGCTACAGAGAGAGATGTTAAAAGAGACAGGCGAGGAGCAAAACTGTGTCGTACTTTACTTAAAGTTGTACAAAAGCACTTTTCTTACCAAGCTCACTCTTCTCCACTGCAGCGCTACTCAGTCCAAGTAAGTAATGTAGCATCGCTAGCTAATATACATTTAAAATCAGATAAATTTTAATGATTTAATTCTTAAGGTACATTGCACTTCTTTACAATAACAACTACTTCATTCTAAGTAGATTACTCAGTTTGGTATCAGACTCTGTATCGATGAGTACTGAGTATTTATACTAAGTCTGGAACAGGAAAAAGTATCGATGCATCCTTATTGTATAGTGAATTTTATAACAGACTGCCAGGGGTATGTACCTGTGACTGGGTTGTGCACATTCATTTTCCGCAATCCAGTGACTCATAGCAGCATCTGACCTTTTCAATAGCCTGACTCACTGCTGGACTGTAGAAGTGGAGCGGAACCCACACGGAATGCAAATCGTATCCCTGTGTGTGCTTTTGCAGGTTTCGACTCAGGAAGAAGACCTGGAAAAACCCAGGCACAGTGTTTCTTGACTATCACGTCTATGAAGAGGACATCAACATCTCCAGTAACTGGGAGGTCTTCCTTGAAGTTCTTGAAGGTAAAGGATGGTCAGCTTTGATCCCTACATAAAAAGCAGACTCTAAACATGGAACATTATGATAAATGAAATGCCCGAAGTGTGGCCTGCGGGTCAAAGTTAGCTTGTGAGGACGTTTGATTTGGCCCACCATAAATATATTTATTTTAGTAATACATAACTGTGTATTTTGTTTTCATATATTGAAAGCTTAATTTAAAACTTGCCTATCTTGTGTATTTGTATATTGCTTTGACCCTCCCCTGCTCCCCAGACAGAAAGTTGGCTTTGTGGTGGTCAAAGTCTGAGTCAGTGTTAAAATATTTAGATGAGAGTAAGATGAACACTGCACAGTTTGTGACTTCTAATTCATTTCCTGTGGGTTAGTCTGAAAATGTGCCTCTCTTTGTGATGTGTTCGGCACAGTTGTAACTCCTATGTCTGTTGTGCAGAACCGGAGAGGATGAAGTCCATGTCCCAGCTGGCTGTGCTCACGCGGCGCTGGTGTCCAGCCCAAATGAAGCTGGAGCCTTTTCGGGAGGTGGTACTGGAGAGCAGCAGTGTAGAGGAGCTTAAGGAAAAGGTGATGCAAAGCTTTTGGGCTGTTAAAAGTATTGCCAGTCATTTTAGTTTGAATACTGTGATTGACTAAAAATGTATTTCATTGTAAGGTTAAAGTATTGTTTCTTCCCTTGCAGCTCAGTGAAATGAGTGGGATTCCTCTTGAAAACTTGGAGTTTGCCAAGGTATGTCAGCTTGTTTGCTTAACTCTGTGTGGGAGTCCTACAGTAGGGCGTAGTTGCATCCTGCACTAACTGACTGTGCGACTTATAATCTTGAATATTAGTCTTGGCAAAGTAGAGCTGGCACTGAACTGTGCTGCACTGCGACCCTACAGAAACAGTGTTGAGAATCCTGTTCTAATGCTCCCTCGGTCTGATTTTAAGTTAGTTAGCTAATACTGTATCTCCCGTCTTCTCCTTTAGGGAAGAGGAACATTTCCGTGTGACATATCAGTGTTGGAGATCCATCAGGATTTGGACTGGAATCCTAAAGTTTCCACGCTCAATGTCTGGCCTCTCTACATCTGTGATGATGGTGCAGTGGTCTTCTACAGGTAATGCGCTTTCCAGTTAAAACTGAAGTAGTATCATTGGTTGGTATTATATGCAGGCCTTATTTTGGGTGGTTTCTTGGTACCTCTAGAGGAATATTTATCTTTGCATACAGAACACAGCATAGTAGGATTGAGTTATGGTCAAAAATTGCATCATGATTATATATAAAGATTTTCAGTCCCAAGTGCTGTAAATAAACTTGTAGCAAATTTGGATATAACAAGAACAAGAGCTGGTACATAATGGAAAACACATTTTTATTTCTCTAAAATTAGCATTAATGTTTTTTTGTATATGTATAAGCCCACACCCAACAATGTATATCGTGGAAAAGAAAATGCTCTGTAAGGCATTTTGAAATTAAACCCTTCATATGTTTTCCATGTTGTTCAATACTGATAATATATTTTGAACCATTTATTTTGGTGTAAAATAAAATTTGCCTGCTATATACAGAATATAGATGATAAATTCTCCCTCTTTTAGCAAATAGAAAACACATCACCACCTAGTGTCCTAAAGTAGCACTTTTTCTAAGTTAAAGCTTTTCCTGCTAATGTCAGGCTGATGAACAGAACAGCATAATCACTTTATTGAAAATACTTCAAACATTCATTATTAATATCAAAACAATAATTATTGAGTGCACTCTTTGCCACACCCATTGCAGAGTCCATCCTTTTAAGGCTCATCCGTTATAGGTGGTGTTTTAATGCATGTCTGTGAATATGCTGTCCTCATAGGCTCTGTCTCACTTTCTGCAGGGACAGCACTGAGGAGCCCATGGAGCTCTCTGAAGAGGAGCGCAATGAACTGATGAAGAAAGAGAGCAGCCGACTGCTGAAGACCGGCCACCGGGTCAGCTATTCACCCCGCAAAGAGAAAGCCCTCAAGATCTATCTAGACGGAGGGCCTACCAAAGACTCGGGCCAGGACTGAAGGTGGCCCAAACCACCCTGATCATTTTTTTTAATAGCTGGCCTGCCCGCTGCAGTGTAGCGCTGCCTCGCCAGGGACCCTCGTTTGGCGTCGAGGCCCACGTCGAATCCAACGTCACCAGTGCTGTACGGCTGACGCCCTCTTCTCCGAGCTCCGCAGGGGCATTGCGAGGCTCAGATTACTATTGTGCACTATAGTTTATTGTACTGTAAAGTTTAAAGGGAAGTGCAAAAGCTATTTCAAAAGAAAAAAAAAATCCAATACCATTCAGACAAATCAATCTAACAAGATCTTACAGAGATGGACGCACTTATGGAATAGAGTAGAGGACTCTATTTGGGAGTGATTTGTATCTCTTTCTCTGGGCTGTCTCTATCCTCAATGCTCTCCATTGTTTTTCTCTGCTTTTTTTTTTTTCTCTTTTATTGTCTGTCACCATCACTTGCTCTTTGATTATGAATAGTGTTGAGTCCACCAAGTTAAGTGCACATGTCCACGACCCAAGTTCTGCTCAGTATGCGACAAACTCCTGATCTCCAATAGCGACCATAAGGTTGAAGCCACAGCCCAATCATCTTCCATGTTTTTCCGAGGTCCTCCACTGAATCCGGGTGTAGTCTTATTGTTCTCATTTAAAACTACCGGGAGTCTTTCCTCTTGTTCATTTAATGAAAAGTAGTATGTGTGAATTAAATGCTTCTCTTCTGGCTGATGAGGCTCCGCCCTGGCCTTTTCCCAGAGCGCTTCCCTGCATGTGCGGGTGTGACAGTGGCTGTCCCTCTGTGTCACCCCACTAACTGCTGAAGCTCCATTCACTGTGGAGGGGGCTCCGCCCTGCTCCCTTCATAACTCCTCTTCCTCCTCTTGGGGCTACTGACACTGGTACATTTTAGTCTGCAAGCCTTTAATTCTAGGGTGATACCAATTAACTAGAACGCTTCATTTATTGTTTACCCTGTTTTTGTTTTTTTTTCCTTGTAAATTATTTTCACCTCAGACTTAATGATGATATTAGGTCCTGTGAGTGACTTCTGGCACACATTTTAATTTTTTGTTTTCTGGTCTGTACTTGGCCTTTTTTTTCTGTTTTTATTTCTGCACAATGTGAACGGAGCCTGTGTGGGTTCGGGCCTGGTCTGTGTGTGTGTGTATGTGTGTGTGCGCGTGCGTGCGTGTGTGTATGTGTGTGGAGAGATGATGCTGCTGTTTTGCGTAGCCTGAAGGCAGAGGCTCTAGAGCCACACTGGAGGAGCAGCAGTCACCGCTGTGCCGGGCCGAACCCCCGTGGGTCCCCAGGGCTCCTAACGCTGCCACAAGCTGTTCACAGTAGACATGCCAATATGGAAATAAAAAATAATCAGTTTCTGTCTGTTTCCATGTAGAACTTTTCAATGACCGCATCATTCAGATGTGTTTTAAATGGAAATTTCATCCTTTTTTTTTATTTTATTTTTCCACATAATTGTGAAACAGTTCATTGTAGACACTTTACTGATTTGGATTAGTTTACAGTGATTTTACAGCACCAGACCAAACGCCAAACACTGTTTAAAAGAAACCAGCTTAGGTTTATTTATAATTATAAAAGTCTTACTGGCGAGATGTCAGTTGAACTGTGCATACGCTAAAATAATCAACAGGACAACTCGTGGCTTCACTAATTAAACCTGAAAATGAAAGAAACGAATACCCAAAAGTATTAAAAACATGACAAATGACATGTTAACACAGAAGATGCGTTAACTTATTTCAGTTTTTTTTTTTTATTTATTATTTGACCAGCACTGTCCAAACTTTGGATAATGACTCTAAATCAGAACAAATAGCGCCCGCCCCATACTTTCCCAAGAGCTTCAAGTACAATAAGTTTTTCAAGGATCGAAGCTGAACACGTTTAAAACTGGCCAGTACAGAAAAAGACTAAAACAATGAAGGTCAACAAACTGGCCAGTACAACAAAACTAAAGCTACTTGAGCGACGCTTGCAGAAACTGAAGGTTGGTTGATCTGGATGGGCATATTTCCAGATCTGAAGGGACCGAGCCCTAAATGTCTCTCTTTGTTATGGCCTGACTGGATTGAAACGGAACTGGGCCCTCGTCCGCGATCTGAACCCAATACATCTCGTACCTCATGTGAGAATCACCCCTAGACCACAAGTTTAAGATGTTGACAATGGTGAAATAGTAAATGGTAAATCCTGAAATTTAAGTTTTTGGCCAAAACTTAATTGCTGAACTACCATAAGACAATGTTTGAAGCAGCAGGCGGGGTATTCACAACCATTTTGTGTAATAACTTGGTGTGAGAGAGCTTTTAGAATCATTAAACACTCAGGTGTCTGGTTCCCATCACCACTGTGAATAATTCTCTCTCATTTAAGTTTCCATAAAATGGAGCATTTCATACAAACCCCTCTAAATAACTTGGACCTTCCCTATTTATTTAAACACACAGAGCTTTCAAATTCATCTTTAAGTGTACGAAACTAAAGACGTCAGTATGACCACATCATAGCAGATGATGTTCATTTGACCAGTGCTTTTCAGAAATTTAGTGAAGTTTCATTTGTGGACAGAAAAATCTTGACTTTCACATTTTTTCTGCTAAAGCTATTCAGGAGAACTAAAAGCCTATGCTATGGGTTCTCCTGTTCCCACCTACCAATATGAAAGATAAACTGGACTACAATCTGTGGGTAAAGGGTTTTTTTAGCATAGATTTGCGTACCATTTCCTGCTAAAATGAATGACAATCCTCACAAGACTTTTCCACATTTTATTCACTTTTACAAGGTTTCATTTCACAGTATTGAGACATTTGTATGAGTAATGCTGCTTTGAAGAGTCTAAATAGGAACATACAATTCTGTACTACTCATTCTTTAAAGGGGAGTTCCACTGCTTTTTTAATAAATTCTTGCATAATTAATTTGTTGACATATAAACACAGTGTTCTGATGTGAAATGGTTCACTGTACAGAAATGAACTGACTCAGAATTCTTTACAGTGGCAGTGATGGGAACCAGAGGTTGTGAAGTCTACAACACAAACATAGCCTCTCCTTTACTGACCAGAGTTGATCAGTTAACCTATGCATGTGTTCTGAGTTTTATATATAATGTTGATGATAGTAATGGTGGTAATTCTTTGGGGACTATTTTGCCTCATAATTCCCTACAGTATCTCTCCGCCATAAATGTTTTTTTTTTTCTCAAATATATTCTAGGCTCAAACCTTTTCACAAATCTATTGTGCATTCGTAACCATCATGTAATAACTGTGAGGGAGCTTTTAGAGGCATTAAACACGTCAGACCTCTGGTTCCCATCAACACCACTGTGAGCCATTCTGACTCTGAGTTTCTTTAAAATGGTGAATTTCACAGCAAACCACTCTGGATGACATTGTTTACGTCTTTACGATTTAACTACGCAGAAATTTCGAACAATTAGTGGAATTCAGCTGTAATGCCAATGACCAACCATGTAGCCTTAGATATGTACATTTTTATACAATTACTTCTCTCCCTGAGCCCCGCATGGGCTTTAACATATGGGTACTAACCGTGCTAAGATCTACTGCTTTGGTCTTGGTCTTGGTCTTGGTCTTGCCTATAAGTTTCAGCATTAGTCGAAGCACAGTATGGAGATCAAGCTGTAGCTTTAGGTTTATGGTGGCCAAACTATGTCCGAGTAGTGGTTTCCTAACGAGTGCACAGCTCACTGCTAAAGACTTTCAAGGGCAATGAAGTATTCAAGTATAGCGCAGATCGCAAAGATAACTAGAGGATCACTATCATCCCTCCGATTGGCTCTTCAACCTGAGCAGGTTCCGCTTCAGTCTTTAGACGATGTAGTCGATCTCGGAGTACAGAGTGTCTGACAGGTCTTCTTCGCTGGAGCTCTGGCCTTTCAAGCACAAGGAGCCACGGCTAATAAAGAGCACAGGAAGAGTTTAAAACACATTAACTCCATCTGAAAGGAGGCTGCAAAACAAAGTATTTTAAAACGGACGTGTATGTAAATGACCTCTGTTCTGATTGGCTGGCCTGTATTGTGCATCGTTCAAAAATCAAACACTCCTTATAACTTCAGCATGGATGGGCGGAGCTAAACTGCTATAGGCTGAACGGATGGATTTATAAATATGTGGGGGGGAAAAAGTTTTCCATGATATAAACTGACTGGCCACTTCATTAAGTACACCTCCTTGTTTTTTACACTCATTGTCCGTTTTATCAGCTCCACTGACCATATAAGTGCACTTTGTAGTCGTACAGTCACAGACTTTAGTTCATCTTTGTACTCAGTTAGCCCCCTTTTACCCTGTTCTTAAATGGTCAGGACCCTCACAGAGCAGGTACTATTTGGGTGGTGGGTCATTCTCAGCACTGCAGTAACACTGATGTGGTGGTGGTGTGTTAGTGTGTGTTGTGCTGGTATGAGTGGATCAGACACAGCAGTGCTGCTGGAGTTTTTAAACACTGTGCCCACTCACTGTCCACTCTATTAGACACTCCTTGTCAGTCCACCTTGTAGATGTAAAGTCAGAGACGATAGCTCATCTGCTGCTGCACAGTTTGTGTTGGTCATCCTCTAGTCCTTCATCAGTGGTCACAGGACGCTGCCCACAGGACGCTGTTGGCTGGATATTTTTGGTTGGTGGACTGTTCTCAGTCCAGCAATGACACTGAGGTGTTTAAAAACTCCAGCAGCACTGCTGTCTGATCCACTCAGACCAGCGCAACACACACGAACACACCACCACCACGTCAGTGTTACTGCAGTGCTGAGAATGATCCACCACCCAAATAGTACCTGCTCTGTGAGGGTCCATGGGGGTCCTGACCACTGAAGAACAGGGTAAAAGGGGGCTAACAAAGTATGCAGAGAAACAGATGGACTACAGTCTGTAACTGTAGAACTACAAAGTGAAACTATATGGTAAAAACTACGTTTTTCAGCTGTTGCCTTAAAAATGCCGAAAAAAAAAAGATAATTAATCTCAAATTTGTTCTCAGGGTCACCCACTGGTGAGGTTTGTGCCCTTTTTGCTCCAAATGCTGGTGATCTGAGATGTTCTTTTAGTGTTATTGGCTACATTTTTATCCAAAAGACTTTCTGCATGAAGTTCGTCAGTGTAGGCTACAGAAATGGAGACTGTCAGTAATATTTTATGAAGGTTAATCTTTTTTCCATTCAACTTTAGTAGAAAAACGTTTCTGAATATACTGGAAATGTTTTGTTTTTTTTTTGTTTTTTTTGGAAAAATACCACATTTACTATGAATTTAGTGTCATGTTTTGGTTTCCTAAGGTAAGACAAACAGCATGATGGGGAGGTATAGTTTTGGTGGAGAAGTGGAGCTGAACTTCTAAAGCAATTTGCATCTTTTCAGCCTTACAGAATAATTAATAATAATAATAATATAGTAATAATAATAATAGAGCACTCTTCATACAGGTGAAAGCTCAAAGTGCTTAACAGACAAGTTAAACAGTACTAGAAGAAACTAAAGGGTATGATGTTCTATTACAGATGCTGTTCAGTAACAATATTCAACTTCAGTGAGTAAATAAATGAAAGTTAAGAGTATTTAACGTCCAAAATATCCTAAGAAGGCTACAGCCACTCTAAAGGAAATGTGCTCCAACAAGTCTTTGTGACAAGTTTGGCAGGAAATAAGATAATTACATAAAACGTTTTTATCCCTAAAAGCCATTTTTTCATTTTATCTCCTGCAGTTGGATGGAAACAAAGCTAATGTTATTAAGCAATTTATGAATTGTAATTTAATGTCATTTCATCTGATTTGAAATAGGATATGAAAAACATGGCAGTGAATAGTTTATGTGTAATATGATGTTATTTATGTGGTTGTTTACTCAGTACTGCCCTAGTTTCAAAGCTGTATCCGTTGTTGCGTTAATAACACTCTATTAACGTTCTCACAACAACTTATTAAGACTAAAATTGCACTATTGGATGTGAAGGTGCTCAGCAGTTGTACCTCCACCATAATCCTGTTTTTATTAAGGCGTTTATGGACGTTCAGCCATGAAGTCTTGGAGGATTAGAGTTAGAGATGACTTCATGAGTCGCCAGCTCATTGTAACTCTGCTACATTGTTTCCAAACAGAACATAAAACATTAATATCTGTGGTTTGTTTTAAAAATATCCACTGAGTGTTCATATCTATTTTCTACCGGCTTCACTGGCTATTTTATCAAACACATCTACCCTCTGGGTGCTACTTGTAGGCATACAATTACTAAATGTAGCCCATTTGTTGCTAAGCACAATTTATCAGCCCCCTCTTCACCACCAATCATTGGAAAGAGACCATCACATACCAGATACTACTGGCTGGTGAACATTGTTTGCAAACAGAACATAAAACATTTATAGGTTCGGTTTGTTTTAAAAACATCCACTGAGAGGTCACAGCTGGGAAGGTTCTCCATCCAAGCCTTTGTTTATTATAATAAAAGTAGTGACACCGTTGAAAGGCATGCCTTAGCTTTATTTGGTGGCGGCTGTCTTTCTATTTATTTTACAGCGGCTAACGGCTAATAGCCCTACTGGAAAACGAATCCAGGCCTGAACATGTTCCTCTGTCTTACCCCAGATGTTGGCACTCTAGGCCCCCAGCGCAGGGGCAGTGCTCTCTTGGCCCCTCGCCTTCCAAATCCCACGATAACAGCTCCATCAGATGATTGGCTGAGACAAGGCAGCGCTCGCGCTCGGTCGGCTTGGAGACGCACACTGGAAAGAGCAGAGCTGAGAGGGGAATACGGGCGAGTGAGAGCTAAAAGCCGTAACACGTAAGCCGTAGGTTCTATGCAGGCTTATTTCTTCAATCTCATCCTCACTGCTCTCAAACTGCACATCTCATATCTTTATGCCTGGTCTATCACTGGAGGTGATATCGCTGAGAGAACCCATTGTGCCTATTAAATCTGAAGCAAATGGCAGCAGTATAGCTGTGCTGTGACTGCAATTTCCCAATACTAAATTACTGTAATTTCCTCCAGGACATCTTTCTGATTCCAACCACAAATATTTAAGATTTGGGCTTTTATACCTTTACAAGACAGTACCTTTGTAGAAAGCACAGCACAGATCGCGGCTGCAGTCCCTTTGGTATTCGCAGATGGTGCCCGCTTCTCCTTTGGTGGTGTTCTTCGTGCACTGACCCCACACACACAGCTGATCCTCACAGCACTCCTCATCTTTTGTACAGGTCTGTGATACAAATATGCACAAGATCTCTTATGCAAAATATCCATCATGACAGCACATTCTATACACAGCGATCAGGCATAACATGATGACCACCTCCTTGTTTCTACGCTCATTGTCCATTTTATCAGCTCCACTTACTATATAGGTGCACTTTGTAGTTCTACAGTTACAGACTGTAGTCCATCTGTTTCTCTGCATACTTTGTTAGCCCCCTTTTACCCTGTTCTTCAGTGGTCAGGACCCCCATGGACCCTCACAGAGCAGGTACTATTTGGGTGTTGGATCATTCTCAGCACTGCAGTAACACTGACGTGGTGGTGGTGTGTTAGTGTGTGTTGTGCTGGTACGAGTGGATCAGACACAGCAGTGCTGCTGGAGTTTTTAAACACTGTGTCCACTCACTGTCCACTCTATCAGACGTAACTGCGTTGTTGGTCCACCCTGTAGATGTAAAGTCAGAGACGATAGCTCATCTGCTGCTGCACAGTTTGTGTTGGTCATCCTCTAGTCCTTCATCAGTTGTCACAGGGCGCTGTTGGCTGGATATTTTTGGTTGGTGGACTATTCTCAGTCCAGCAGTGACACTGAGGTGCTTAAAAACTCCAGCAGCACTGCTGTGTCTGATCCACTCATACCAGCACAACACACACTAACACACCACCATAATAATAATAATAATAATCCTACTACAATTATTTTTATTCAATTTTTTACAAACTGTACTGCACTAAATCCAATTGAACAGGCCTAATTATGCTCACTATGTAGTTAGTCAGTGTTCTTTAAGTACTGACGATATCCACGATATGCTCAGAAAAGCATAGTGTGACATTATTTATCACAATAATGATAAACATATCATCATATTGCCCATCCCTAGGCGTCAGGCCTCCACAAGCTGTCAGAACAGCTTAAAAACAAGGACAAACTGAGTAGCAACAGTTCTTTAGGTGACTGAGAATGTAGACTCATGGTGTGATCAGACTGTGTCAGAAAGATCAGATCATCCTACTACACAAAGAAACATGTCATAGTTGTGATGTAGTGCAAAAACCTCTCATTATAAAGATGGCTGCACACTTGAGAGGTCAGTGCCATTGGAACTGGTCTACAGAGATGTGGAAAAAAGGGATATGGTCAGATGGGTCATTTTCACCATATTCTTCACATGTGGAGAGAGCATGTGTGGCGTACACCATGTGGTCGGTTTAGGGTTGAATGCACTGGAGGTTCACTGAATGGTTTTCTAAGTTGTGTAAATATGTCAACCCTTGTGTGGTGTTGATGTTGTTGTTACTCAGAGGTCTGGTGGACCCACCGCATTATTATACAACACAGCCATAACAATTTATGTAAAAATACCAGATACCTAAAATATCACAAGTGTCCAGTGTAGGGTTCTCCTTCAGCAGCTGTAGCCAGTCAGCAGCCTGTCCATGTTGTCCACCCTCACAAACACACACACACACACTAACAGCAGGCCATGTAGGAGGAGAACAGAGTGAAGGACACAGCACCTCCACACTTTTACTCCCTGCAGGTTCACCCAACACCACATGTGTAATATAAATGTGTGGGGGGGTGAACAGAGTGAAGACACGGAAAATGGGTTATTTTATATGTTCTTCACAGAAAATGAGCAAAAGCCAAGGAATCTGAGGTTAAAATAATAATAAATTGCATCATTTTTATTTTTGGTACACACTGAAAATGGGACCCCAACACCACACAAGGGTTAAAAATATGCTATGACCTTTGCAGTCACCAGATCTCAACCCAGCTGAACACTTACGAGAGATTTTGGGCCTACATGTTAGACAGTGCTCTCCACCACCACCATCAAAACACCATTAGAGAGAATACCTTTTGGATTGGTGTTCCATTAACGCTGTACAGGACCAGAGACTTGGGGAATCTATGTGAAGGTGCCCTGGAGACGCTTGTGATGGCACCTTACTGAGATATTTTATGTTTGTTTTCCCTTTAATTCATCACTCGTGTGTAAATACTACCAGTCGATTAGTTTGGGAATTTCAAATATGCATCACGGATGGAAAAAAACTACAATTCCAAGCCTGTTTGAACACATTCTTTTCCCTTGAGACCACAATGAGAGATAAATCAGCTGCGTTCAGTCTCAGAAGCATCGTGAAGGCCGGCCACAGGCTGAACCCGGCCAAGGCTTTCTGACAAGCCCGCACATTTGTGTTTGGAGACAAGCCAAAGTATTCTTCAGAATGGGATTCAGCCTTGCTGCCAAGAGCGCATCAGTATTCTAGCTGGCAGTCTCCACTGTCCTTCGCCGTGCTGCTCTCTGCTCTCCTTTCTGTGTCCTGTGTGAGGGAGACCAGCAGACGAGGTGGCTTTGATTTAGCCAGCAGTGCACTTTGATGTGAAACCCAATGGAGAAAAACTCCCTCATATCAGGTTCCAGATGCACTTGTGGCTGTACTGCAATGCAGTTACAATGCAGGCTCGCTTGCATCATACTGCTCAACAGCAGGAAGCTGAGGGCTTTCAAACGCGCACAACCTTTTCAGCACTCTCAGAATATCTAGGTCTGGGTGGGGAAACTGTCTCAATGTGAAATACTAAGATTCGCAGCTTTATGTGCAAGGCAGAAAAACTGCTGGTTCATAAACCCCAATAAGGTCAGATATTCTCAAAGCTCCTACCTCATCCACCTCCTTGCAGGCCAGACATTTGGAGCGGTTCACCTCATAGAGACAGTATCTGCCCTTTTCACAGTCCTCATCAATGATGCATTCCTGGGAAAGAGAGGAGGAAAGGGAATAAGCACAAACACATTATTTAAAATCAACACCTGGAACATTCCCAGCCCTGCTAATTCAGCTCTATTTCCTTAATTGATGCTAAAATGAAACCAACGCAGGGTTTTTAAAGGAACATTCCAGCATTTTTGAACTTAACCTCTATGTGCTGCATCTGTATTGTACTGTCGATTCCCATTGACAATAATTTTAATGCGTTTCCCTGTAATTAAAAAAGAACAGAAAACCACTGACTTAAAAGTCACTTATAATTGAAGCCATTGGGTTTTCATTAAGAAATGTTTGAAATGTGTGTCTATATAACGCAACTATAAACATTACAATTTGACAATACAGGTCCTCGACTCAGACATGAGAGAATGTCTTGCCGAAGCCCGTCTCATGAAGTTTTATCCAACTTTTAAACACTGGAGCAATGCAGGAAAAAAGTTTGTTACTTTGACTTTCCCTACGATTTGCTAATATCCATACACAACCAGACAAGAGCCAAAATAAAAACAGCTACTATTAAGAGCACTTAATAATCCGATTACTGCAGAAAATCAGACTTTGTCAGTAATCCAATCAAAGCACTTACATGCACTTGACTAATCAGATAATGGGGAAACTCCAGGTCTACATGATTCAGACAGTAATCAGATTCTGCTTTGCAACCAGCCAATAATCTCACAGAAGAAGACGTGACGTAAACATAGTAAAAGCTGCGGCTTTTCTTTTCTTTTTTTCACTTTACCTGAAATTATGAACACACATCATCTAGAAGACGAAGAATATTTAAAGCCTTCATTTAGTCAAGCATGTAGTGGTTTCAGCGTCGCTCCAAAAATGTTTTGCTGCGTCTCGCGGTGACGCTACTCGCTTGTTTCCGGGACCGCGGTCCGTTTTCGTTCATGCACGGACTGAGATATTCGAAAGAAATCAGAGTAAGAGTTTACAGCACTGAGAAATCTGATTACTGAGCTAAAATCCAGCTCTATCGGATTTTAGACCTCACTCTGATCTAGGAAATTGGAGTATGCTGTTTACACAACCATTTGAATGATCAGATAACTGCAGAAATCTGATTATAATCGGTTTTGGGTGCATGTAAAAGCACTCCATGATATAGGAATCATATCAGCACTGACAAATATTTGGCTTTGGACAGATGTTTACATTTGACCAATATCTGATGATTTTGAGCAGAACGTCTGAGCAATAATGTGCTAACAATGTTTGCATTTTATTCATTTTCCTGCATCAGCCCGATTCTAATAAAAATGCATCCCTAAAAGTAGCCTTACCAAAACTTTTTACCTCTAGAAAACTAGCCCCGTCTCTGAAAGAATGAACTACACAGATTTATAGCTTGATTCACAATCACCTGAAACTGACCTGTAATAATTTACTGATAAAATGCAGCACCTGCCCAATGGCTTTTATTATACATGAATTCTGAGTCGACAACTTTTCTGTTTTTCTTGTAAGTAGAGGTAAACATGACAAAATTATTGTCTAGGGTAATCAGACATACTATCCAAGAGATGGAGAGTAGATGAAGATTACCTCAAATCTGCCCTCTGACATAATACAACACATAATAGAGTTATCATATTTTACCATATTTCAACAACTACAATGCTACAGTGATGAACAGTACATTCATTCTAAAGTCTTTGTTTCACAGACCGAAATTCGAGAAACATGCATTTAACCACACTGTAATGAAAAGCAGCGGTGAGCAACTCAGCTGAGTTTGTAAAGAGTTCAAAGAGAATTCTGGAGGATGTGAGGCTGACACACGATCTGTGCAATATTTATCTATACGAGAAGTGACCCAGACTTTTTGGGCCACCAGTGAAGTAAAGGACAAAGAGCTTTTTATCCCTAGATGCTAAAATAAACATTACATTCCTCTCCTGTTGCCTTTTTACCACATCAGTCTTTCAGGGAGAAGAGGGGCTGATTAATCCACCCCTTTCCTTTGCAGGACAAAAAGAAGTGGTTTACATTTAATTTGGTCATCTGAAAGAGAACAACATGAGCCATAAACATAACAAAACTACTAACATACTCCGATCAGGCATAACATTATGACCACCTCCTTGTTTCTACACTCATTGTCCATTTTATCAGCTCCACTTACTATATAGGTGCACTTTGTAGTTCTACAGTTACAGACTGTAGTCCATCTGTTTCTCTGAGTACTTTGTTAGCCCCCTTTTACCCTGTTCTTCAGTGGTCAGGACCCCCATGGACCCTCATAGAACAGGTAGTGTGGGTGGTGGATCATTCTCAGCAGTAACACTGACGTGGTGGTGGTGTGTTAGTGTGTGTTGTGCTGGTACGAGTGGATCAGACACAGCAGTGCTGCTGGAGTTTTTAAACACCTCAGTGTCGCTGCTGGACTGAGAATAGTCCACCAACCAAAAATATCCAGCCAACAGCGTCCTGTGGGCAGCGTCCTGTGACCACTGATGAAGGACTAGAGGATGACCAACACAAACTGTGCAGCAGCAGATGAGCTATCGTCTCTGACTTTACATCTACAAGGTGGACTGACATGGTAGGAGTGTGTAATAGAGTGGACAGTGAGTGGACACAGTGTTTAAAAACTCCAGCAGCACTGCTGTGTCTGATCCACTCAGACCAGCGCAACACACATTAACACACCACCACCACGTCAGTGTTACTGCTGAGAATGATCCACCACCCAAACAGTACCTGCTCTGTGAGGGTCCATGGGGGTCCTGACCACTGAAGAACAGGGTAAAAAGGGGGCTAACAAAGTATGCAGAGAAACAGATGGACTACAGTCTGTAACTGTAGAACTACAAAGTGCACCTATATAGTAAGTGGAGCTGATAAAATGGACAATGAGCGTAGAAACAAGGAGGTGGTCATAATGTTATGCCTGATCGGTGTATACTAGGCTTTCAATATGTGCATCCTGGATAACAACTGATTATGTCTATGATTAGAGGTGCTGCTGATAGTACTGCATGTCTGAAATACAAATTGTGTGTAAGTAGCTCAAATCTATAAAAATATATTCAATATTAAGAACAGTGGAATAGCACCGATGGCTAACAGTGGAACAGGATTATACTATAATATATACTATCATCTTTCACTCTCTTTTCACAAACACGAGACTGGGTCTTCTCATTTCTTCCATTTAGTTTAAATGTCACTTTATGAATAAATTCATATACTCCTGATCCTCTGCACTCATATCAGCGAGGATCTAGACTGAAGCAGACTAAGTGTCTTAAGCTCTCCTCTGCCGGATGGAACTGACGACATTCTCCGTGATCGCTGTGTTATCTGGCTTTATCCTGCTCGATCAGCGGCTCTGTCACCTCTCCGATTCTGCAGCCTAAAAGCCCCACTCAGAGCAGCCAATAGACTATTGACTGACTCCCTTCAGTCAGACAGGAAACGAAGTGCTCTGAAAAAGGATGTTATGGTTTGTGTGAGAGGAGCTATTCTTTAGGAAATGATTTGTGCAACTTTCTGGATCCAGTCAGACACAGAGGTCACTACTGGTACTTTTGTGCTGAAGCAAATGGAATGTAGCGTATTAGGACAGAATACCATACTGAGATTGTAACATGACTTGCACTACATTGAGAACACATGAGTATAATGTGATGCAATGTTTTTAAAGGTCTAAGGGGGTAATTTCAATACTCAGTCTCAATAATTGACATTAAAACAGTGTAGAGAAATGTAAAAATGTACAGTCAATACACCCCTCAGATGCCCTGTAGGTCTCTCATTTGCTTTCTTTTGTGGAAACCACAAAGCATGACTTAGTTAACCTTTTTTCTTTTTCTCTATATTCAATACTGTATATTAATTGAAAAATCTTATGCTCTATTTATCTTGCTCTTGTTGTGTTATTGTCTCGCTATCCAGTGTTAACTAGAGGAGGATTCCCCTTCTGAGTCTTGGTTCCTCTCAAAGTTTCTTCTTCTTGCTTATAGGGACTTCTTTCTTGCCTCTGTCGCCCTTGGTTTGCTCATTTGGGGCTTAGACTCGGATCTTCTGTAAGCTGCTTTGTGACAACGCCTGCTGTAAAAAGCGCTATATAAATAAAATAAACGGCTTAGTGTCAAACTCCGCACATAAAGTGGTACGCAAAAGTTTGGGCATTGTCATATTTAAGTGTGTTCTCTGTAGAGGATGTGTTAACTTATCTTAGAAAATTAAGAAAACATGTCATTTGATCATATATGACCGTGCATACTAGTTAAAATATCCCACATATTTTAACTGTAATTGTCAGACAATGTGATGTGTTAACTGATTATGTTGATGCATTTATGCATTTATATGAGGCAAATCAGGCTTTTTATATTGTTTTATAAATCACTTTTTTGCAAAGAACAAGTAAATCTATGATCTTTTAATTTAAAATGAAATGTATTTTTCTGAGCAAATCCAATCTGTGTTGTATATCATTAGAGCTCTGTAGAATCTAATCTTAAACTTAAACAAAAAAATGAAAATGTGTATATATTTACACCCTCTATTTAAAATAACACTGATTTGAACAAAGTCTGCAAAACTCATGTATTTTTAGTGTACGTTTCTACAATAGACACATTGTTAACAGCAACAATGATCATATCAGTGCAAGAGTGAAATTATTAAACTGGTATAATGTGGCATTAGGTCTCATGTTTAATGTTACAGCAGCTGAGAGAGCAGGGATTGGACTGCAGTCTCCCTGTTGCAGAGGAAGTGATTTACCCACTCGGCTACAGAGCCATTTACAAATCAGCCCTACTTAAAGGCTTCAGACACGATAATGATTCTCACTATGGTATTCTATGTAAAGTCTCTAAAGCAGCAATGGCTACTGTCACAACAAACCTGCATCACTATAAGGACTTCATTGTTGTAGGCCCATATAGAAAAAGCTATTCATATCCAACAGCTTCTTCAAACGTCCATTTTACGTACATATCGGGCAGCCCTAGCTGGATCTCAAGAATGCTTTGATTCAGCCAAATACCCATAACCTCAGTAAGATCAAGTGTGGATGCCTAAACGGCACAACAAATATTCAGTCACTGTTAAAAATCTCATTTCCGTATTCTGTGATCTCAGTATTGCGAAGGTCGATTTTGGGATGACTATTAACTAACGCTATATTGTGCAGCTCTAGCAGAGAACTGATCAATATTCAAGGTATGAACGTGTGAGTGATGTTCCTGAGGCCTGTCCAAGCTGAAAATATATCCACATAACAGTGGATACATGGAGATTAGCATAGGAGCTATGACATTTGTCATGTAATATGAAGAAGAAGATGACAATCACTCACATGGTCGGTATCATTTTCCTTTCCGCTGGTCTGGATAATGGTTCTGGAGATGCGGATCTCCTCAGTTCTATTCTCTGAAATCTGAAAGCACAAATGAAAGTAGACATGGAAATGCACTCTGATCCAACACAAGCTCAGAACCAATGGTCTTTTGGCCCTATTTTGTCTGAAGGGCACTCAAAGACATCACAGACATTGAAAAAATGATTGTACGTGGGATTTTTCAAAAGAAGCAAAAGCTATTTGGCCATCCTGCTTGTCAGTGCTCTTGCACTGCGCTGACAGCAGAAGGCTGCAGAAATAGAAGCAATCATGTCAAGAATCTGCCAGGTGACCTCTTTGCCAACCTACCTTATCGATCTTCTCCACAGCCGGGGCGGATTGATTTCCGAGAACAGTCTCTGAACTGCTTTCGTTGTTGTAATGTGAGGCGAAGTTCTGGACATGTTGGCTGGATTTTGCACTTTCATTGTCCATCTGTAAAACGACTCAAAAGAACAGCCCATGATCACACACTACTCTTAGATAATGCACGGATAATAAAACCCAGAATATTTCTAATACTCAACAACTCTGCTGCTCTTATCCACCTCGAAGAACTGAAAGGAGCTGTCAGCTCTGTGAGAGTCAATGCTCGTCCTGTAACTCTTACAGATGAGGGTGAATGAGAATGTTCATGGTCATCTGAGATCTTCAGTGATTAGTTCAAGCTGTTATTCAGTGTTGTAGTGCCTTAATACCACCTACAGAGCTGAATGTACTGCTTATTAAATAGGTCGGGCACGGAAATAATTGTGTTGATGTAATATATTTCATTCTCGTGGAAGTGAATCAAGTAAAGCTAGGAATCCATAACAATCCATGACATACATCTAAGCTTCAGAACATGCCTGTACTACTGATTCTTGATGCAGGCAATGCAAAGCAAGAAAAGGAATCAATGTAACCATGAAATGCAACCAATGCAATAAGAAGAAACCAGTGTAACCAGTGCAAAGTATGAAAAGTACAGATGGCACTGATCTGATATTGTGTTTCGGGACAATATCTTGACAAAATGCTGGGTCAGATATTGGATGGTAAGACAGAATGAATCCTTCAGATGCACCAATATGGGTATTCTGGGCAGACGCCAATCACTAATATGCATTTATAACTGGACTAGCATTACGAAGAAACATGGCATGTATTTGTTCACTGATAGAAATAAAGGCTCTGTGCAGCTACATTTTCCGTTCATCAAGGTACAAACAATGTAAATGTACCATCAAGGGTACAACAGTGGTTTTAATGTCTGATTGTGAACCTTAAATAAGTTTTTCCAGGTGAAAAGTTCGTATTTGTACCTTTTCATAACCAAATGTTTTAAAACAGAACAGTAAAATAAAAGCCTGGAGTCAGACGGGGTGTGTGGAGTCAGTACAACTTAGAAAATATCATTTCAGTGGATTATGGTACAATTATGTTCCCTGACTAAAGGTACTGAGATGAACCCTTGAGGGTCCCACCCCAGTGACAGGAGGGGCACTGCCCCGGTGACAGTCTAGTACCTTTATTTCTGAGAGTGTACAGGGTTACAAAGGCAGAAAAATATGGTAAAAATGAAGTAAAGGCATATATTTTACAGTAGTAGTCCAGCATTGCCTTGAAACATTCTGCTCTTCCAGAATGTATTGAATGTAATATTAAATCTCAATTCAAAATATCAGCCAAATCAAATCTGTCCAATTCTGAATTTCATTTAACAATTATCTGCACATACTGACATGATTCCAGTACCATTGTGCATCTATAATGAATCTGATCCAATACATCGATACATCCGGTAACGTCATATGATAAAATCATGCACTCTCAGAAACTACTGCAATGTCACTGGGGCGGAACCCCTCTTGTCACTGGGGTGGGTTCCTCAAGAGTACCTCTTCAGTACCTTTAGTCAGGGAACATAACTGTACCATAATCCATTAATATGATATGTTCTAAGCTGTACTGACGCCACACACCCCGTCTCGTCTCCAGGCTTTTATTTTTTCTGTTCCATTTTAATACATTAGACTATGAAAAGGTAAAAATATGAACTGTTCCTCTCAGAAGACCCAACTTAGTGTATATAACTGGACCTTGAAACCATTGAATAAAGATGGTTCTTCAAGGGTTCTTCAGTAAAGAGAACTGTTCTGTGTAGAACCATGAGGTCTATATAGAACCATTTCATACTTCAGTGGTTCTTTGCATGGTGAAACTGGATTTTAGACTGATGGAGAATGTGTTGTATATGGTTTTATATAGCAACAATGTCAATAGAAGAACCCTTTTTTGGTGCTATATAGAACCATTTTTAAAAAAGGTTCTATGTAGAGCCATATGCAACACATTCTCCATCCATCTCCATCCAAATGTCCATCTCCAAACATTTCACCATGCAAAGAACCATTTAAGCATGCAAAAGGTTATATAGAACCATTCCCTTTAGTATAGAACCCTTGAATACTATCTATTTTAAGAGTGTACCTTAGAGGGAACATTTGAAAAATGTACCTGCACAGCATCTTTTTCTGACAGGGTGTGGTAACAGTAAACAGTAAAGGTGGGTAGTAGAGAGTATAAATTAAGAGTATAAATATATATAAACATAAATAATATTCTTCGTAAAACTTACAAAAAAAAAAAAATATCAGTCGATGTCGATATCGGAAAGGTGGTATCGTGGCATCTCTATTTAAAAAAAAAAAGCAACCATCGCATCTCATGAAAAGCATGAGTGCGACCACGCAGTGCCTGAAAATCAGCTAATGCGCTGCATGCCAGGCAGTCGGTGTGACGCACGGGGTACCTGATGTACCGCGTCCTCCAGTTTGTGCTGCGTGTCCTCCATCAGCTCCTCCACCTCCCTGAACATGTCGCCCAGCGTCGTTTGTCCTCGCGCTCCATCCGCCTCCACGGTGCCGTTGAGATCCGCGTGTACGGCGTTTGAAGCTGCGATGACGCTGGCAACGGCCAAGCACACGCTCAGCTCGAGCACAAGCATCTTCGTCCGCGCGCGGCTCGGTGACGATGCGATGAATGGAGCTGCGCCCCCGGGGGCTGTGAGCCACGAGGGCACCGGAGAATTATGGGCGCGAGGCGGAGGAGTGTCTAGGCGCGCACACGCACGCACGCAGGCGCGCGCGCAGGTCATCCATCTAGGCCAGTGTTACGTTCAGTTTCTGTTATTTTTTCCCTTTTGAATCTGCTCTTTTATTATTTCTAGTCTTTTTTATCGTATTTACGCTTGTATTTGTTCTGTATTTAAAGTATTTTAGTCGTTTTTAGTAGTTTTAGGTTTTTTTTTAGTGTTTTGTTTACCTTTGTTTTAGCTGACCGTATTTGTATTTAAGTGACCCTGGGTCTAAGACAAGTGTTACATTAATAATAATAATAATAATAATAATTAGTCTTGTGGTTATTATTATTATTATTATTATTATTATTATTATTACTGTATTCCAGAGCTGGCAGAACATCTTAAAAAGAGGGGAAAAATAGATGGTGCAGAATAGTCAGGGTTGGACAGCTAACATACTTAAAAGTAGTGATGGCTGAATACCGAATACACTGTCCTACATGCATTTTGTAATATTTTCTATTACATAAAAAAGTAGCATAGTCAGAATATACATTTAGAGTACATCTTGGTAAGGCACATGGGAAAAACTTTATATTTTAATGTTCGCTTGTTATTTTAATGTAAATTCTTAACGTTGCTGCTCCTACAATCCTTCTAGCAGGATTCCAGTACAATGCCAATGCTAAACTAATCATTCACAAATAATGCCCACTGCTGAGGAGATTATTATGATCATCCCTCAAAAGAGCCCAGTAACAATGAGATTAATAACTGACTTATCATATTGATTTATCAGTCTACTCAGGCTTTAGCAGAGCCCAGTAACACTGAGATTAATAACTGATCATCACATTGATTTATCAGTCTACTCAGGCTTTAGCAGAGCTCAGTAACACTGAGATTAATAACTGATCATCACACTGATTTATCAGTCTACTCAGGCTTTAGCAGAGCTCAGTAACACTGAGATTAATAACTGATCATCACATTGATTTATCAGTCTACTCAGGCTTTAGCAGAGCTCAGTAAGACTGAGATTAATAACTGATCATCACATTGATTTATCAGTCTATTCAGGCTTCAGCAGAGCTCAGTAAGACTGAGATTAATAACTGATCATCACATTGATTTATCAGTCTATTCAGGCTTCAGCAGAGCTCAGTAAGACAGATTAATAACTGATCATCACATTGATTTATCAGTCTACTCAGGCTTTAGCAGAGCTCAGTAAGACTGAGATTAATAACTGATCATCACATTGATTTATCAGTCTACTCAGTGTTTGTAAAGAGGGCATTAATTGGGGTGGTCTTCAGGATTTGTCTAATGAGCATGTTTGTTACATGTTGTACTGCCATGCATTAAAAAAGTGAAACGAGTGAGCACAATTGACTTTCATGACTGCCCTTTTACTTTGTCCCACTCCATCCCATTCTGTCCCACCTCCTCTCCTATTCAGTAATTTCTAGTCTCTGTAAAGACTCACTGTTGACATGCCTGTTGAAAATAAAAGAGCATTCGCCTGCACATACCAGTGCTACGCTATACTGGTATCAGGAGTGGGATACAGTTGCGAAGGAAGGGGGTACCGAGCATTATGTCTGGCTGCTCCTAAACGGGTCCAGCCAGCTGAGAGCAAGGCTTGCTGGGGAAGATGGTGAAGGACATAGCACAGCGAGGCTCAGCAGCGTAGCCCAGCTGGAACCCAGCGATAGAGAGACGGCACTCATCTGCTTACATGCTACAACGCAGAGGGTGCCTGGAAGTGATACTCTGCATAGCTGCAGGTGGTTGCTCAACATCATGGCTGGACGGCAGCTGTCACCATGACACAGCTGTGTTTGGCAGTGGAGGGGAAAGCACTGCAAAACAACACGAGAACATTATTCTCAGCATAGAGACACTGTGGCGAGCAACACAGGGCTATGTGATGGAGGAGCTTGAGGAGGAGATGTATTGATCGGCCCCTGAGCAAGTGGTAGCGGAGCTATTGATGTACTGGCAGTGAAGGAAGAGAATACACTGCGCCAGTCAATGCCGCGAACCTGAGCCCACGGAGAGAACGACCCTGAGTGTCAACACTACAGCCAGGGTGATTGGCTGGTGCATTTGGGTCAAGCGCAGCATAGATGGGAAACAGCTCACTGCCCTCATTGACACAGGCTAATCGGTGTAACTACTACATCAAGGCATGCTCCCCAACCACGAGAGGGGCACACCTAACTATTGGGAAGCGACAACTGTCCAACTTAAGTCCATCACCAGCAGCCCACCATGGTAGGGGGGCCTGAGCTGAGTGTATGAGTTCTGTCTCACACCTACACAAAATGCGTGCATCCTCGGGTTGGATTTCCTCACAGCGGCCGGGGCCGTGCTCAACCTAAGGAAGGAAACACTGGGCTTGGAGCAGCATCAACAAAACAATGGAAGACAGAGAAAACAGAAGGTGGCTGAGAGGAGCGCTAGTGCTGCTGTCATCATACTCAGTAACACCGGACTTGACGCTGTGAGTTGTGAGTAGTTCCATCACGTCCGTGATGAAGACACAGAGCTCTCCAGGGCATACGCATGGCTATGGGCAGGACAAAAACCGGGTTAGGCAAGCATGACGCCACATGGGCCCACTGCTAAAGTGCTTTGTGCCAGATGAGACAGCCTCTGGATGTGCAACGAGAAGCTGTGCTATGTGTGGGAGGAGCCATTGCCTGGGAGGCATGTGTGGCAGCTGCTGGTGCCCTGCAGTCTAGGCATGATACATGCGGTGGCTGCTTTGGGGCACTTTGGTGTGAGCAAAACACTGAGGCAGTTGTGGTGGATGTTCTACTGGCCAGGCTGCCACACGGATGTGGATCTGTGTGTACATTGCAGTGACCAGTGCACAGCAAAGAGAAGACCACTGCATGCCCCACTTCAGTCCACACGCTCTGGTGCACCGATGGAGAGACTCGCTGCGGACATCACAGGCCCTGTGAAAGAGAGACTGTGCCAGGCAAGGGTTGTAGTTGTGCCCAGAACACAGCTCAAGAGAGGAGTTGGGTGCTCGCTGCAAAGGCACCTGTGATGGCTGGGACTGTGGATAAGCTTGGGACTCCTCAGGCCCCGCGGACTTTGTTTGGGCTGTGTGGGAGCCGGCCACGAGTGGGGGGTAGGGTCTGTATGGCGCAGGGAGCTTGGGGAGGTGTGACCATGTGGGGTGGCTCTCGGGATGCACCACACTACTGGTACAGAAAAGGACTGTTGTAGTTGTAGTGTAGTTTAGTGGTAGTTGTGTTTATTAGAGTAATGGTGTCCAAAGAGGGTGGGCTTTGCAGTTAACCAGTGGTTAGAGGCGTCCACTCCCTTTGGATGTCGTGTCCTGCTGTGTTGCCCCCTCTCTGTGTTTCGCTTTGGGGTAGTGCTGGGCTGGACATTTCTGGTCTTCGTAAAGACTCGCTGTTGAAAACATTACAGCATTTGCCTGCACGTTATATTACGCTATACTACTTCACCTTTATGTTTATGACTCTTCAGCCACCATGTGGCTGCTGATAACCCGTCTAACATCAGCATCACTCAGTCTCCTAAGGTTCTGAGCAACCTGTCTTTTCAGTTTGTCTCTATTGACAAAGCACTGCATTCACAAAAGCAATGATCAGAAAGTAGGCCCCTATTAAAGAGTGTAATGTGCATTTCAATTGACAGACCACATCTGAAACCATTGCGCCTTTATAAAACGAGAGAGACAGGGCTTTATGCAGCTTTACGCCTGGAAAACACCAGGTGGCGCCATTTACACAAGAAAAATGCCAACATGCTTCACCAAGAGCGTCGCTTTGCTTAGAAAGAAATGTCACTGTTCATGAAAAAGTAGTAATAAAGTGCAGTAAGAAGCACTGCGCTGTTTTGGAGCTGACGCCGTTGGGAAGCCTGGCAGACTGCAATAAATCCCCAGCGGCCGTTGGCTGCTGTATACTTTATGACTGGGTGAGGAGGAACGTTACAGCCTGTTTTGTGTTATTGCTAGAAATGAGTAACTATTTACTCACTTCTGGTAATAAAAGTCAGGCTACATAACATTTAGACTACCTAAGAACAGTTTGGAAAGATTTTGTTTTATTTTTTTCTGCGTACTTTCAAATGATAACAATTTTACTGTTACTCTGGTGAATCTACTTTTTAGACTTTTTACTTAAGTTCCATTTTCCCTATTTCTTTCTCTTGTCTTTCCTGTTGGTGACTGCAGCTTTACTGCTTTGTTGTTACCGCTTTTATCATTTATTTAACACCACATATTTCATTCCATATCCGGATAGACTGTGTATGCACTAAGAAGCTGCACTGCAGTTGATGGAGAACTACTTTACGTCTACACGAGTCATTATTTCACTGTAACACTGAGGATGTTTTTTACCTGCGGCTGGTTTATTATACTGTGTTTTGCTAAATATGTTCATTTTGTTCATTTTAACAGATAGAAGACAGACAGTTCTCCTGAAGAGAGATAAACCTTTCTCCTGAAGCACCACTGTTTCCAGGTTAACATCCTATCTAGAAGATTAGGCCAGCGATATGTGACTCATGAACGAGTCGTTCTTTTGAGTCTTTTCAATGAACATGCTGAGCCGATTCTTAAGTCCAACTGACACAGTGTTCACGACTCTGCTAGAGGTTCAATGAACTTCGTATAAGATCTTTATACATTTAACTTAAAAAAAACAATAAAATTATAAGAAAATACACCACACTGTAACATAGCATGGATTAGCCATAACATTTACCCAAATCACCTCCTTGTATCTACACTCGTTGTCTAATTTATCAGCTCTTACAACTTATTACATAGGTGCACTTTGTAGCTCTACAGTTACAGACTGCAGTCCATCTGTAGGTGTGTCTAACAGAGCGGACACAGTGTTTAAAAACTGATCCACTCGTACCAGCACAACACACCAGACCACGCCAGTCACTGCAGTTCTCTGCGGTGGTCCTATGGAGGTCCTGACCACTGAAGAACAGAGTGAAAGGGGGTAACCCAGTGAAACAGATGGACTGCAGTCTGTAAGGCCCAATCCCGTTTCTTCTTTTTACCCTTACCCCTTGTTTTCGAGTGTCACCTTAACCCCTTGGAACTGAGTTACAAGGGGTAGTGGTTGAAATCTTGCCCTACGAAATGGGACCCTCAAAAATAAATAAATAAATAAACATTACTTCATTACCAGCTACTAGCGCTGCTCTGTAGGCGACCCGGCCCGTCTTCAGTGATAGAAGAGGAGGGCAAAGTTCAGCTCCTCACTGCTGGACTTTAGTTACATTTAGGGCATCATATGCCTTCAAAGAGGGTATAAGACAATTATATATTATTGCCAACCCCTAATTCTTTGGTGATTTGAAGCTGAAGTCAGATATTCACCAGCTTCTTGTTCGAATTGTCCCATTCCACCTTAAATGGTGTAGCAGTTACATTCTGGCGCTTTAGGCGTCAGAACTGCCGGACTATTTAAGGTGGAACGGGAAAGTTAGCTAGCTAACTACCGAGACATCAGCATGCCGTTAGAGATTTTTTAATGCTTGTTATGAAGAAAACGACCGTAATACATTGAAACAACCTTAAACTAAGATAATACAATGGTTATTGTATTTTTTAAACAGAGAAAATACATTTGTGGGTTTTTTTGGTCTCTTGTTCAGCCATCTTGCTGGTTTTTCTTTTTTTTTTTCACAACACTCTGTTTGGAGTGAGTCTCTGAAAAACCTCTATTTGGAGGTCCACGTAGCCCTAACACTTCGCCCTACCCCTCTATCTCAACAAAAATAGGGACACCCTACCCTAAACATGAACGCGCAAAACAGAGGGCTAAGGGCTAAGTGGTAGGGGCGAGGGGTGAAATGGGATTAGGCCTAATTGTAGAACCACAAAGTGCTGATAAAAGTGACAATGAGTGCGCAAACAAGGAAGCGGTTTTAATGTTGTGGCTAATCGGCGTAGCCTGGCCTGTTAAGACCAACTGTGACCTCGCTCAGATTTTCTCTCCGTAGCTTCCTCTTTCTGTGTTTTCTGCATCGCATTAGCGAGCGGAGCGCAAGCAGGAACACCAGGCTCGCTCACTGTCGCCTGTGTGGAGCAGAGGAGAACGAAGCCGAATCAATGAATCACTGAATCGGAGGTTCGACTCTTTAAACGGACGGTTCGAAAGAAAACTGACTCGAACTTCACATCACCGCGTCAAGCGAGAGAGGTACTTTCGCGCGCGTGCTGAGGTTCGTTCAGAAACTCTGCAGTCTCCGCGCGCGAGCCGTTGGCTCGAGGCTCGCGCTCTGGAACACGAGACGGTTCGACTTCTGTTTTACGTTTGAAAGTTTTCGGCTCAACGGACGTTTCTGCTCTCAGACCGCCGAGCTAAAAAGTGAGTAAAGCTTATTTAGAAACGTGTTTTATTCATAATTTTATGTCAGACGTGTTTAATAGGCTGCTGTGGAGGTTCTTTAGAGTTAGTGTTGAATCACCGGCCGGTAACGTTACAGCAGGTTGCTTCTGACTGGAGTTTCAGCGCCGGTCCAAATGAAAATGTTAGATGTTTTATTAAAATAGTTCTACCATTCGCTGTTTTTACCTCACATTAACGTCTACACTGTTCGTGTTTTGTCTCTGTATTGGGTAAGGAAGCTCTTAAACGCTTCTCATTTGCTTGAGAACTGTCTATTCAGACTGATAAATAGCCTTTCAACTGGCTTTATGTACTAGCGACGAGAATTCCCTGTGAGAGAAGAGATGCTATAGAGAGGTATAGAGTGCTCTTTTACAGGATTAGTACTGGTATAAACTTGATTTTCTTTGTATAATGTGAAATATATTCCTTTCCTTTTGCCTCTGTAACTAAGGATGGAAATCCTATAACCCAAAAGGAGGTTTTTCACCTCCTCCTCACTGTCTGTAATAAGTTGCACAACTCGCACGCCTTCAGCAAAGCAGTCAGGGGTCGTAACTGTGCCACAGGTGTGCTTGGGTGTTGTGAAATGTGAGTGAATGATAGACTGAAGCTGAAAATGGGAAAGACTAAAGTGCACTCTCTGACTCCAGTCCAGTTCTCAAAGCCGTACTTAAAGGGGAATGCCACCAATTTTTCAAAACTTCTAAATAATTCAGTCCTTGAGATGTAAACAGGGTCGTCCAGAGTGGTTTGACGTGTAGAGAGACTTACAGACTCAGATTTCTTTACAGTGGTGGTGATAGGAACCAGTGTGGCGATGTCTACAACATAAATATGGCTATTTTATTTAGTGTTTAAAACCGCTGTGAACCTACATGTGTCTTCTGAGTTTTTATATGTAATGCTGATGATGGCAAAATAGTCATAAATCGAAAAAAATACATTTTCTTTAGAGACTATTTTGCCATACAACACTCCTGGTGTATTCCTCCGGAACAAATGGATTAAAATAAGTGGATTCAAATACATTTTTAATCCAAAACTTTATCACAAAACTGTCAAAAAACAATGTGTCAGACACCGGGAAGCCTATATCTGACCGATTTCATGTAATAACTTTCTGTGAGGGAGCTTTTCACGAATCTGACTTGGTAAGTTTCTCTGGAGCGGAGCATTTCACACCAAACCACTCTGAATGACTTTGTATACATCTCAGCTATTTAATTATGGAGAATTTTTGAAAAATGCTTCATGGGGACTGCTCAACAGGAGGCTTTGTTTCTGTTGGGGAACCTAATCATACTGTTGCAGATATTAGCCAGTGGAGAAACTGAATAACACCACGGTTTACCCTTTGGACCTTTAAACAGACATTGCACTTGTGGAGTTTACTTTGTTGAAGTCCTACATTCTCTGTTTTGGGTCTCTTCATTGGGGATGCCAGTACATTTAATCAGTACAGAAATTCATAGTAGAGATAGAATGTACCTGTATGGGGTCTATTCCAACAAAAAAATGCTTGGATATCTGTGGAGGAAAAGAATGACTGAGGAGATTCTGTGACAGATCTATCTTGGAGTATCACAGATTTGCACATTATAACTTAAAGATAAGTAAAGCAAAGCAAACAAAACGTTTATTTAAACAGAAATGGTGGTGCGTTGAAAACTCTGTTGTGTTGCGCAAGTCTTGCAGCTATGGCAGCTGAGAAGGCCATTCTTGGCACCCTTGGCTTATTCTATTTAAAATACTTTACTATAATATACTTACGGTAAACATGTCCTCTGATGTCTTTAGTAGTTGTGTACACCAAGCTGTAGTAGCTGCATTTGTAGAGGACATCATTAGAATGCATTATGTGCACTGTCTGTTTGATATGGTGGGGTTTATACGTATGTCGCTGCTGATTGGGTAAGACCTCCACCAGTTTTTCAGAATTTCTGAATAATTCAGTCCTTGAGACGTAAACAGAGTCATCCAGAGTGGTTTGACGTGAAATAGTTAATTGTAGAGAAACGTTAATGAACTATTGTCATGCCCATCAAATGATAGAAAAAGTACCTCGAACCCGTTCAACACCGTTTCACACTGTTCCGATGAAACATGTTGTTCAAGCCGGTAGCAAAATGGTGCACAACATTTTGAAATGTTACATGAATGCAACAGGAAACATATCACTGTTGTCAGAAGAAAACCTTGTATCTCCAAAATGGTAACTTTACAGAAGAAGAAAAAAACAACTTTACTTTTAATGTAAGTCAATGGAACCAGACATTTTTCCAAGTCATTTTGAGACATTTCTTTTGGTCCATCCATAATGTAAAAAACACAAAAATGGACAATGAGGTTTTCTTCCGACAGCAGCAATGTGTAGAAGAACAAGCAGCTAGCTGTGTTGTAGTAAAATTACATTTTGTTTATCTTAAATAGTCCCATTTTGTACTAATTTGCACTGCAAGAGATATTTCTATTTTAACAAAAAATATGAAGCTGCAGTTTTGTCACAAAAAAGGAAAAAAAAAGTAGTAGTTTTAAAAGAAACGAAATTGGACCAGTATCGATATAAGCCAACATGGAAGGTCTCAGTATTGGTATAGGAAAATAAAAAGTGGTATCTAATCAGTAGATCACTTCACTGGGAATGGGACTGGGAATAGGACAGCTGTCCTATGAGAAACTTGCAGCTCGGAAAGATTTAGGAATCAGAGTCACACAAACTGTGCCGTTATCCACCCACTTCTTGAATGAGCAATGACTAGTGCATCCTGTGACATGATAGCACTCTATCTGTCTATCTGTCTCTCCCTTTTTCCCACTTTTGCTTTCCCAGATGGTCTAAATTTCTGCTTTACTGCCGAAAGTGGGCTGCAAGCGCACATTAACTAACTTAGGACCTCACACATGCTCAATTTGTCTTAAAGGCTATAATCAGATCTTTCTTCAAATCTTCAAATAAATGTCCCACACTGAAATTTAGATCAACGCCTTCCTCCTAATAATCGTCTGAAATATATTTTTCTGGAATTTCTTCAGGAATGCTTAGCGCTGTTGGCCTCTTGAGCTGTAGAATTTCATCAGTCTGAAGACGTATTTTATACTCGTTCTGTTTACAGTCTGCTGCTTCACAGTTCTTTACAGACTGTGCTCCAATGTCCTCATTTTTCAGGCAGATAGTCCATGTGTTTCTGTTGACAGTGGAATTTCTGTTCAGAAGCACTGCCATGTTGATACAAGCGCTGTAGTATTATCATTGGGAATGACTTTTGGCAAGAGATAAAACAGTTCATACATACATAGGCTGTATGTCAATAAGGCAGGCGGCGGTTCTTTGTCATTTCAGAGGTTTACTTTCATGGTCTGACCCTTTGAAAGTCTAGCTGCCAGATTCAAAGCCCTTGCTTGTGAATAATGACTATAAATATGGTCTTTCCTTATTTGGGTGCTTCACAAAAATGTAGTCAAATTACATACTTTGGTGAAGTTGGCTTGCTGTGGTGGAAGCTGACCTTTGTCGTTTTATATTTCTGGAATGATCTAGTTCTAGATCAAACTGATATTTCCAAATAGGGTCAATTATCAGATCATTCTGATGAGCCAGATGCATCTTTAAAAGGTCCTTTAAAGAGGTTCCTCATGAATTCAACACATTTTTCTGATGCAACTCTGATAGCGTTTTCAGCCTCCGTCAACTTTTGAGTGAAAAAACAGCTATGAGTACCAGCGTCCCAGCCTGTAATTAGTGGTTTAACCGTACTCTGATTTAAACACATGGCTTGTGGAGAAAACAGTCCCATACTATTCTCAAGCCAGCTTTATCAAGCTCAGAAGTCTGGCATAGGTAAAAGCCATTATCCTAGAATTGAAGCGCTGTGCATCTCACCTTGAGCAAACAGTCACCCAGCATAATATTCCGTCAACACAGTGTTTAGGATCTGTAATCAAGTTGGGTTAAAATGAATGAAGTAGAGAGTCCAATCCTGTCTCAGAGTGTTTGAGTGTTTTAGATGGGACGGTTGTACTTTGATTTTCCTCAACTGGGGCATTTCCTCAGACCTCGTTTCTGGAAGTGAGTCTATGTTTCCTGTCTGTCAGCTTGGCAAGGGACTCCGGAAGAGGAAATTGAAGGTCAGGGGTTCTGCATGGCACACTGAATCACCTGCCTGGGCAATACTGGAGTGGGTCAGACATGCACTAAAACTTCCTGTTCAGTGCAGAACTCTCCTCTACTGAAAAAGAGACTCATTCCTGTTCTTGAGTCCACGTGAGAATCTCATTCTTTCCCATTCATCATCCAAAATGTCGTCAAAATGTGAAGGAAAAATTCACCAGGTCTGTCCACAAGGCCATGAAATGTTATGACGAGCATCATTCTTAAAAAAGGACTTGAATAGGTTTTATAAGTGTGCAAAATACCTGTCAATTCTGAACATGTTGTCTCCCTTACTCATTATTCTGGCCCTCTAGTTTTGCCCAGCAGCAGTGACGCAAGATAGAGTCCATAGAGCCCATAGCAGAAGTTCTGTAACGAGAACTGTATTTTATTTCATTGTCTGCCTTACAATAACTCACAATACAGTTGGTAGCCCTTTTGTTAGGTCCATTGGATCTCTCAGAATATATTGTCAGGAGGTGGTGCTTAAATTTTAGGTCATATTTTGAGGTTATTAATAGATCTGTCATAGTTTAGTAAATTTTATCTGACAATTAATTACCATATAAAGAATTGTGTTTAACCAATTAATTATCTTTTTTTGTGTATTGTGTGCGACTATTAAAGTACAGGCCTTAAGTAACCCAGATTGACTTTTGATACTCGCTCCCATCAAATGTCAGAAACACCTCGAGCTCAAATAAACAAATATTGCTCACCACTGCCTTCAGCTGTGTTTTATCCTACATTTAATTGTCTCCATTTTATCGGAAAAACAACTTTCACACCAGGAGACACCACATAAACGCCCTTTCAAGTTGATGAT